GCTTGTAGTTAAATAAAACACTTTAACAGTTCAAAACGCGATATATTTTAGTTAAACTAGATTGAAAATTATTTTTAACTACGGCCCGAATTATTTTCTACTTTGACGTCAGAGACATCCTCCATCTTTAGTCTCCCCGTGACCACGGCTGGTGCAAAGCATCCCAAACGTCGGGCCACAGTAAACAATAATTCTCAAACAAGTTTAACTAAAATATATCGCGTTTTAAACCTTTAAAGTGTTTTATTTAAATGTGTACTACTCGCGTAAACTACAGACAGTATAGGATATTGCTCTACATTCTACAGTCTACACTATATCTAAGTATTATGAGATCCAGCAAAAGTGAAGGTCTCATTATACCCGCGTAACGTACAGATGTTCCCTGAAGGATCTCGTATCAGTATTGATAGCTTCGAGATATACGATCGCTTTGTTTTGCTCTAACTATAAGGCCGGTGGCACATTGGGGATTTCGTAATTCCTATATTTTGTGAGGGGCCCATCGGTGTAGTGAAAAACGATTGTTTCAATGACTGGCTAAAAATAAACAAAATAGAGATGTTGGCTAAGATATTTCGCCTACCATAAAACTAATCAAATGCTAGTCTATCCTACTCCATCATAACAAATTTCAATGCGAAAGAATCGATAAGAGTTCGAATGAAGTATGAAAAAAGTGGAGTAACATTTTCGCCTGTTGGCTATGTGACGAACACAGTTCTGTATCCGTTTTACCAGTTTCGGGTACCAGAAACTGTTGTGTATAACAATGTGGAAAGTATACGTGAATCTAAATGTCAAAGTTTAAGGCGAAGTAATCAAACCCAATGAAGTGCTGTAGTGCAACTGATTTTTTAGTAAGTAGGTGTTTTAAGATAATTTACAAGAAAAGTGGGAGAACAGGACGCTCACCAAGCCAACCTTGTAATATTTGATTTAATATACACACTCGAGTGTGCATAATATTGACATCAATTTAGAATTTATGCTAGCTATTCCATATAACAATATTATATTATATTATAAGTTTTACCTTTCCAACTCTTAAGTTATACTCTCCCCCACTATCTCTGTGCTATGTATTCTTTTACGGTGCATCCTTCCTTTTGCTTGTTATTCCTTACACCTACCCACTTAATAAGTCTTTTTCTTTTCTCCTGTACTTCAGGTTGCCTGGAAGAGATCGCTGCTTAGCGATAAGGCCGCCTTTTATTTATAAGTCAGTACGTAAGATGTTTTCTCTTTTTGTATGCGTAGTTTGGGTTATAAATAATAAAGTTATAATAAATAAATATAATAAATATACAGTAAATTTGTACGTGCGTTTGTCCGTACATTGTCTTAAGTCCTTAAAATAATGTAATTGGTTTAAAGGCGAAATATGTTTAAGATACAATTTTATTACAAATATATAATATAATACGTTTTAACTGCTTTGTAACATCGCGTCTCAACGTGAAATCAAACACCGGCCACTAAACCAAATCAACTGTTTTGTTAAATAAATAATTGTTAATTATTGTGAAATTTGTAGTTTACACCATGACCACGGTTTGCACAGCATCCGAAAATTTAATATAACTAATAATGTGAGTACTAATAAGTTAATTGATATATGATTTTTATTCTTAGTTAAATGAATATTTTTTGTTTTAAATTTAGCTTGTGAAAGCCAGTTTCCCTCTCGTGGGGCGAACACATTTCTATATCCGTTTTTTTAACGGGCAACTAGTTGATCAGACTTATGTGCCCTGCCCGGCCGAAACAATTTTATGTTTCCCTGGGATTCGAACCTAGAACCTCTCGGTTTACGCAATGCTAGGCAATAACTTTAACCAATTGACTATAGGGGCGGTCAATTTTAGCTTAGTTTTAAAGAAAAACTCAGTGTACCACTAGCCTAATAATTTCATTTGGTTTCTAGCACCCACTTGACGCTTGTATGTTTTGAATTTGATAGGTAATATCGTCGAAAATATTACGATCGCTGTATTGCTGAATACCTGAAGGATTGTTCCACGGATATCCACTTGAAAAAGTTATTCTATCGCAATATATTAGACTTATATTTTCATTGGACAAGAATATTTCGATAAGGATCTCGAATCAAATAGATTATTCTGTTAAATAAAACACTTTAACGGTTTAAAACGCGATATATTAGTTAAACTTATTTGAAAATGATTTTTAACTTCGGTCTGACGTTTCGGATGCTTTGCAGCAGCCGTGGTCACGGAGAGGCGAGAATATTTTTTTAATTTTGCAAGCGTTTTTAGAGCGTACGTAATACTTTTTGCCGGTTTTTTCTACTTTTACCGCCTTTTTTTTGCTTCTATTAGCTGTTGCAGTGTGATGTTCAAGATTAACATCTTTCTCCATAAATTTTCTATTCGACACAAATGTTGTTTTCAATTCGCGTCAGTAGTTCCTGAGATTAGCGCGTTTATACAAACTCTTCGGCAGTTACGCACAATTTTACAATTGTAATTTAAGAGGAAACACACTCCGTCCAATGGGACATAGAGTGAACACATTTTTGTGTCCGTTTCAGTTAACGACTTTATTTAAAGGGGAGTAAACGAATTGTATGCCCTGCCCGACCGAAATAATTTGCTGTTTCACCGGGATTCTTACCTGTTATGCTTAACACTTTCAAAGTCCAAACCGTATTTCTCATCTCGCTTTTGATGAAACCCCATTCCCCACCATCATGACCATGATGATGACGTCATCTTGACTAGGTAAGTCGACAGAGCCCAATTATATTTTATTAATAAGTCTCCGTTAATCACGCGGATCCTTTGGGCTATTGATTCTACTAACAAACAAATAAACGGATTCTGGAAATCTCATTTTGTGTTATTCAAATGAAAATATACACCAAAGCCATTTTCAAACAAAAGAATGGGGTACCTTTGAAAATTGAATGTCAGTATTTAGAACAAGATTTCGCGAATCCAGGGCGCATTGTTCTTCTGGAGCCGTATAATTGTGTTCCAAGGGTTTTCTCGAAAGATGGAGGGTGGGAGAAAAGTAGAAACTGCTACGCTATCTGTTCCGTCCAAATACCAACTACGACGGAACAGATGTCGCTAGCGTAGCAGTTTTTACTTTGACATTAGAGACACCCTCCAATTTTTATCTCCCCATGACCACAGCTGCTGCATAGTATCGCGTTTCAAACCGTTTATTTTATTTAAATAATCAAATGCAATTTTACAACAAAACATACATAATATGCACATCTAAGATGACTTGATATTTAATATAGTTATAAAGAACGAAAAGTAAAATCAAAGTATACATCAAATAGAAAGAAGAAAACTGTGTATATCTTCGCTTTTCTTTAAAGGAGGCTAAACAATTAACACAAGAAACATACGGAAGTTGCGCGGGAGTCGATTCGAATGTACTTGGCTGGTTGTCAGTAGCAAAAGAAAATAATATACACATAACAGTTGGTAAATAAGTGAAATATAAATAATGTAGCTAGGCCTTATCGCTATAGAGCGATCTCTTCCAGGCAACCCTTGTGTAAAATAAAAAAGGTACATCATGGGAACGCGCAGGTCATGCGAAGCTTAACGGTACACAAAAATAATTATATAAACACAAATTAAAAAACTACTAATTTTGTGGCTGGGATATTGACAAAAATGCGTTCTACTTGCATATAATAAGCTTAAATATATAAAAAAAATATTTAAGAATTTTTGGACAAAAAACAATATCGAAATGCACTAAAAATCAATTGTATTTAACAACGTTTTATAGACTACTATGTAAACATTATTAAGATTGCAAAAGGTTAGTTCAATTCTAACTATAATCCAAATTTTCGTAGTAACGTAAATAAAAGAATATATACGTTTACAACCGTTAAAACTGTTTTATATTATAGTGGAGTATTAAATGCTAAACTACAGACAATATTTCCGAGCTTCTGTGTTTCATAATCCCAATTTTTAAATCTTAAGTAAGTTTTAAATTAAACAAATACATTTCACGTTCCAAACATAAACATTTGTTTAATTTAATACTTAAAAAATCGAAAATAAATTTAAAAAATTTTCGACTCCGGCAGGACTTGAACCGGCATCGTCAGCGTTCCTTGCTGTTGCCCCACGATTTTTTAATTATATAGTGCCTTCATGTGTCAATAACATGTAAAAAATAATAAAGTTTTCAAACGTTATATAATTTTAATAAAAAAAAATCTTCAATGATTTTTTAAGCTGCAAAGCATAAGACGTTGAACCTTAATACGCATGTGTTAAGGTTGAAATTACATTGCGCGAGAGGTGCATGTATCAATAAGTTGAAAAAATTCGACGATGAGGTGTAGGACTCAGTAGCTCAATTGGTAGAGCAACAGCACGGAAAGCTGACGATGCCGGTTCAAGTCCTGCCCGAGTCGAAAATTTTTTCAATTTATTTTCGATTTTTAAATTACATAGTGCCTTCATGTGCAATAACATGTAAACTATTTAATACTTACCTAGTAAGAACGTATATGCAAAAGATAAACTTAATTATTTTGCGTGACATAACTTAAAACAAACGAGCATCGTGACAAATTAATTGTTTATTATAGACATAAAAATCTTATCGAAGGTGGAATTACTATTTTTTTTTCATATTAATTAGTTATTCCGCCGGCGACAGCCACGTTCTTGGTATATATTTTTATCTATACTAATATACAGGGTGTTAATGGAACAGTTTTGAAAACTTATAAGGGCATATATTAGGGACTAAAAGGTGTATGGTGCTATTTATTTTCATTTATTTCAAGATTTTTAACTTCGGCCCGACGTTTCGGATGCTTTGCAGCAGCCGTTGTCACGGGGAGACCACGGCTCCCCACGCATTCTTATCTGTTCCCCTGTAGAATACAAAACGTGTTAGCTCGTTTAAAAGTGTAAAGTCGTAAGTTTATCATTGTACTTTGTTTCAGATCAGACCCAGGTTCGATTTAGCGCTTGGCTAAATTGAAAATGGCGTTTCTACGTGCTGCACATCCATGGGATGGCTATGACCAGAAACTGTACGAGAGTGTTCTCGACTACAGGGAATGCGAAAAACAATTGAAGTTACTATCCAATAGTACAGCGGTTCTGCCATGTGAGTTTCTAGAATTACTTCACTAATGGGGGGGGGGGGTCCACCAAATAGTTATGTAACACGTTGCATTAGTTATAATAATTTCGTTTTAATATGGAGCATGGGGCATATTACACATTTACTAGCTGTGCCCGCGACTTTGTACGAGTTATACATATAGTTATTTTGGACGTCATATTATTATTATTATATATATTAGAGATATATTTATGTAAATATATCTCTAATTCGGGTCAGCGGCTAGGCCTCCGTCGTCGTCCGACGTAGTGTTTGAGGGTGTTAATTGGATATCGAGCAATAAGACTAAACACTAAACGTTCACAGTTTTATTCGAACACTAAATTCCCGGGTATTAGGTCGCAGACGTCCGTCTAACTGTGCGATCAAATAACGAATGCCCTCGACCGAAGCCCGGGCTCCGTCCTAGCGTACGGTGTGAAGTTGACTGCTGTGACGTTAGCTGCAAAGCGATCAACCACGACCACGGCTGCTGCAAAGCATCCGAAACGTCGTGTCGTAGTTAAAATAATTTTCAAACAAGATGAACTACTATATATGTTTGTCAATATATATGTTTTAAAGCGTTAAAGTGTTTAATTTAAATGTGTACTACTCACGTAAACTACGGACAGTATCTACAGACAAGTTATTACATTTTTAGTTATCGATGCAACAGCGAAACTCCCCAGCGGCATCCTCTCACTCAATGTTAACGATTATGGTGATTATTACCAATGTCTCCAAATCGACAACCAAGTGGAGGACATGCATTTGGAGGGGAAGTACTGCTTCATCGTGGTGCCGTTCAGCCAGAATATATCGGTGCCAGGTTGGATGAGCATGGGGGGGAAGATGTCCAAGTTCACTTTCAGCGCTGTGGGGCGATCCTTGTCCGAATCGGCGACAGCCAGCACGGATGAGTTTCTGAAGAGCTACCTGGCTCCCAGGAATGTTCAGTGAGTATTGCTTAACCAGATATAAGGTTTCATAAACCGTATTTTCAATAGCAAGCGCATTTCAGCAAAGAAACAGAGGTAAATATTTCTTTCCTTCATTTGGTGATTTTGTGATTATTTTTTTGTCTACCCTCCCCTAATGATAGAGGAGGGTAGACAAACAAGTGGTTCACTTGAAAGTAGGTCATATACTCTAGCCTATACGATCTAAACAAGACGCGCTGCCGACTTATTTTGGCTTCGGATAGTCGGATATCCACAGACTGACACCGAAACGTGTATCAACTTCACGCCAGTGGTGATTCGTGATCCGAATATCAATATTATTTGTTTGTCTGATGTTTTCGGAAAATCAGCTGTTAGATAAATTTTAAATAATTTAACGAATATAGTTAGCGTTTTGGTTCAAAGCCTTTTATGAAAATACCTACATATTTTACTCACATAAACTTCAGACTACACTTTTCACATGTTTTCGGGAAATCTGTATTTAAATAACTAAACTAATATATATAAAATATACGCGTGGTTAGATTATACAGACGATACTTTTCACATGTTAATGTTTGTCTGATGATTTCAGGAAATTTGTAACTTTACGTAAGTGAAAACCGTATATTTCGCGTTTTAAACTGTCAAAAATACTGTATTAAATTGTGTGAAAACCTGCAGACGTTACTTTTCACATTTTACTTATTTGTGTAATTTTTTCCTGGAAATACGTAGTAAATAAGTTTACTAATATATGTATGTTTCGCGTATTAAATCGACAAAAGTCATTACAATGAGTACGACTACCTACAGACAATACTTTTCACATTTTATTTATATGTCCGATGTTTTCAGGAAATTCACATCCAATGCGACGATCAGCAGAGCCGCCTTAAGATTGGGTGTATGTATACCTAAAGTGTGTAATATAGACCAAGTTAATGATTTCATTACACCACCGATACCGATTCCAAAAGTAGAGTATTTGAGCGGGCCTTGCCGCTTACCCGGGGACAAAATGTACACGATTGCTGATTACGTCACTTTGTAAGTTCAAATTTTGTTACATACAGTAATTTTCATATGTAAAACTTTTTGCTGTTACGGTGTTTTTATGGTAGAGGAGGACGGTGAAGAGGTCACCCCAGACGTAAAACATCTAAACAAGATGTGTTGTTGGCTTTTGGTTTTGGATATATGAAAAGATTTGAAAACATTAATTTTTTTTGACAGGTTGCACATGAAAGCATTATATAATTAAAAAAATTGAAAATAAATTTTTTCGATTTTTTTTTTTCGATTTTTAAATGATATGAAAAGATGTTAATAGATTTAGATTAGAAATATTATATTGGACCCGGTGGTGACTGAACTCACACCCGTGTGTTATTTGCTATTCACTGCTACCATTACACCAACCAACAAATGATTATATCAAGATAATCACACGAAATATATAAGTAAACCTCGCTTTCTAGTAAAAATAAGTTCCGATTTGAAAAATTCAAAATGTATTTAAATAAAACACTTTAACGGTTTAAAACGCGATATATTACTTAAGTCTCCCCGTGACCACGGCTGCTGCAAAGCATCCGAAACGTCGGGCCGAAGTTAAAAATCATTTTCAAATAAGTTTAACTAATGTATCGCGTTTTAAACCGTTAAAGTGTTTTATTTAAATGTGTACTACTCGCGTAAACTATAGACAGTATCTAATTCAAAATGTATTCTACACGCATTGAAATAGTCTTGAAGTTTTTCTATTTAATTGATAATTAACTTTCAGTGGAATATTTGGTACAATACTTCTCTTGACGATACTAAGCACTTGCTACGATCTATTCCAAGTGTTCATTCGCAGAAAATGTAAGTACATATATATATAATGTGTGAAAGCCGGTTTCCACCTCGTAGGGCATGGGGCGAACACATTTCTGCGTCCGTTTCACTGATCCGTTCTTTTAACAGCAAGTAGTTGATCGGACTTCTGTGCCCTGCCCGACCGAAACAATTTTATGTTTCCCTGGGATTGGCCACAGAGGTCGGTCATATATAAAATTGTTCGGAAATATGATCTCCCACTAGCCGAGTCAGCGACTTCATCCGGGTAGAAGTTTTTGGAAACTGTCCCAACGTCCGCGTTTTAAACCGTTAAAGTGTTTTATTTAAATGTGTACTACTCGCGCAAACTATAGTCAGTATTTAGTATAGAATTAGATTTAGTAATATTTCTGTAGTACAGTACTATATATTATTTTTCATTTTTATTCCAGCTAAGGCACCCAACCGTCTTTTTACCATGATGTCTATATACACGAACACGAAGCGCCTTCTCAAATTTTTGCCGCCAAAATATTCCATGGATTGTGTTGATGGCATTAGGGCTATATCAATGATATGGGTGATGTGCGGCCACGCGTATGTCTTCGAATTGCTCTCTCCTGCGCATAATCTATTAGACATGATCGAGGTAAATATAAACTACTAGTTCGTACCACCATAAAAAAAAGATAAATACTGTGCGTAGTTTCCGCAAGTACACATTTAAATACACTTTAACGGTTTAAAACGAGAAATATATTGGCTTAACGTATGCAAAAATATTTTAACAACGGCCTAAAGTTTCGGATGCTTTGCAGCAACCGTGGTCATGGAGAGACATTTATTTTCAAATAAGTTTAACTAATATATCGCGTTTTAAACCGTTAAAGTGTTTTATTTAAATGTGTACTATACTATTACTAATATCATTGTCTTCCGGGCTGTTCGGCGTATGTTATGATGTTAACTACTCGAGGAGTTAACATCTCCTGAATATGCCATCCACACGTGATGGCGAAACGTCGAGAACCTCTTTTCACTTGCTCACACACTGCTCACGTCGGCCGAACAGCCCGAAAGACAATGATATACTTTTATATAGTAATACTAACACCACGGCTCCGTACCGCGAAGTAAAGCCCTGGTTTTAAAACCTGGCATCGTAATACGACCTCTCCGGTCACTATGTTGCGTGGTAGAAGATCGTTCAATTTTATGATTGTACATAGTAATGTATTTGACTGCCAAACAAGACACATAAAGATTTTCATACAAGTACTACCGGCCGCTGTTCGACCAGTACAGCAAGTTCGATTTATCTCGAGAAAGGTTGTCAAAATAATACTCAAATTTCAATGGATGTTTAAGAAAAATATATACGTAGCAAAACATGATATATCAATGTTGTGTGGCATAGCTAGGTATGTGCACTTTTTTTGTTTATTTCATATTTGTCAAGATACATGTCACTTACATGGTTTTTATCTACCTATAAACACGGTTTTTATCTACCTGTATGTAAATATGTATGTCTGAATCAATATACGTATAGGTAGTTCAATTATCCGAAAATACCGGTTTTCCGAACACCCATGTCTACTGTAGTTATATTTAAAACTATATATCTATATATTTTATTTCTTTAATAATACCTGTTAACATAACAATTTCTTAACATTTTGTTCGTTTTAAACTGTTAACGACCCGCAATAACGCTGACATAAGAGTTATATTGGAAATAAGTTAACTAATATATTTCACGTTTTAATCCGTCAAATTTTATATAACTTCATGCGATAATATTTGCTCTTCTGTTATAAGTCATGAGAAGCACGTTTTTGTTATCCAGAAACCAAAATTGTATATTTTCCCCTTTTTTCCTATTTTAATTCAATAATTTCTCCCCTTTTAGTGGACAACACACCTCACCAGCACTTGGATAAACACAGCTCCCATGGTCGTGGACACGTTTTTCATGCTGACTGGATTATTCTGTGTTTATACTTTACCTAATAGAATAACTGCAAGTAAGTTGCTTCCCTTTGAACATTCTGAGTCCCAGCGGTGGGAATAGTAGAGCTACTACGATTCCCATCTCTGGGAATGAGGGTATAATACATATTGTTTGTAGTTTACGCGAGTAATACACTTTGAAATATAACACTTTAACTGCTTAAAATGCGAAGTATATTAATTATTTGAAATTGATTTTAACTATGGCCCGACGTTTCGTCTCGTAACCACGGCTGCTGGAAAGCATACGAAACGTCGAAATAATTTTCAAATATGCTCAACTTTTAAATAAAACACTTTAACGGTTTAAAACGCGATATATTAGTTAAACTTATCGAAACGTCGGGCCGAAGTTAAAAATAATTTTCAAATAAGTTTACCTAATATATCGCGTTTTAAACCGTTAAAGTGTTTTATTTAAATGTGTACTACTCGCGTAATTTATAGACAGTGTTTAAGCTTAACTTTTATATTTCGCGTTTTTAACTGTAAGTGTTTTATATAAAAGTGTCTAATAAGTCTTTATTTATTGAAAAGCTTTTTGATCTAATAGCACAGTAGCGTAGTTAATAATCGAGCGCTTCTGACTTCGAACCCCACGGTTGAACAAATTATATATTTTCTAAAACATGTTGGACTTCGTCTGGAAATCTGGATATTTAATGGATGGTAGGAATATTGATATTTCGTCAGCGACTTCGTCCGCGCGCAATAGTTATTTCGGACATCAAAATTTGTTTCGGCAAACCCCCTCCTAATCTTTTACATATTTTTTGTGTACTTTGACCCGTTTTAGTAGCGCACGCAATGGCAACTCACAAAGATGAATTATTTTCCCCGTTTTATTCACATTTTCCGCTGTTTCTCCCCTCCTATTAGCCATAGCGCGATGTTTTATAGCTTAAGGCCTCGATAAGTGCTCTAAATAACACAAAAATATTTTCCCATTCGAAGCATTAGTTCCTGAGATTAGCGCGTTCAAGCAAACAAACTCTTCAGCTTGGTATAGAATCATTGGTAGATACTAAATGTGTTCCATTTCATTTATTTTCAGAACGGTTCCTAAAATCGATTCATATATTCTATCTCTATCGATATTTCCGAACTCTCCCCGTACTCGTCGTCGCTATTCTCATCCAAGCTTCCATCATCCACTGGATCGCTGATGGCCCGGACTGGGACAGAATCTCGTACGCCGTGGTCTGCTGCAGGAATCGCTGGTGGGCCACTGTGCTTCACGTCCAGAACATAATAGAACCAACGGCTGTGGTAAGTTATTTTCGACACATATTCGTCAGGCTTATCAAATTTACAATTGATTTTAGACTGGCTTCTTGATGTAATGGTGGCAATGTATGGCTAGTCGACGGGTCGTGGGTTCAAAGCGCACCGGCTACAATATGTTTCTAATAAATTTATAAATCTTCTGAAATGGTTGGTAGAAATATCGCAAGTCCGCCCGTCACGAACCGATGAGACAAACAGCCTTGAAGATTAATCACTTGTCGATTAACAGTTAATAAGCAAAATTTGCTCGACAGCACATCTTAGTTAGATGTTATATAGCTGGGTTATTACACCTCCTATCAAGTGTGCCCTATGCCTATCTGTCTCTCACTATCAATATTTACAAAAATCTTGCCCCTTATACTGCTCGTGATAAAAATATTTCCAAAAACAAAGTTAATGTGAATTCAAATTTACAAAAGTCAATTTGTTATTAAATAAATTGTGGAAAAGTCAATTAAATTTATTACACCTTTTTAAAACTAGTAGATAACAAGGAAAATGACAAGACTCACGTCGTAGTTATGAACGATTGTAGATCACAATCAGATACCTTTGTTAATACAAAAGATACTTCCTGTACCTAAAATACTTTTATACAATAAAAAATATTTTAATTCAAAAATATGTGACATACTGGGAGATCTTGCTTTTGAATCCTGTGGAAATGGGCAATTTAATTTCTAAATAAAAATCGATTATGAGTTGAAAAAAATTCAGGCAGGACTTGAACCACTTGACCACCCTTTGACCAATTGCCCTGACCCAGCTATCGTGTCTTATACTTTATCGTTGGCATTTTTTCAACTGATTAATACATGCACCTCTCGCGTATTTTTTATTTATTTATAATCGATTTTTAATTTATCTAGTGCCATCAAGTCGAAATATTGAAGGTTTCAAATTTAATTTCTGTAATTAAATCAACTTTACCGTTTACCGTAAGCAAAGAGTTTAAATTCGAACTTTTTAACTTGGAATTTTGACAAACGAACATCACTAGTCCTCTGCCCAGTTAGACAATATAGTCTATATGAAGCCGCTATGACTTGATATAATGTTATGACTTGAGTTATTTATATTTTCATAGTATAAAAATGTCGATCTACAAGAGCATAGTGGCCGAATATTGCTGACATAACTCTTACACAAATAATAGTACAAATTCATTTTCGCCAAGTTAATTGTGAATTTTTATTTTGCTCCTTGAAAATCATGTTTTTGTCTTTAGGCCACACTACCTCTAGCGGCCTGATCTGAATCTAATTGGAACCTTTTATTTCGTTACAGTGCGTATTTCAATCCTGGTACCTTACGGTGGACACCCAACTCTACTTCCTCAGTCCATTCATCATTGTCTTTCTCCTGATGTCCAAAGCCATAGCCTGGTTTGTCCTGGGTGTGTCTTTTGTTATATCAATAGTCACTCTGGCCTATTATGTTTATTACTACAAATATCCGTCTGTCCTTAACGGTCTTTGGTACGTATGACATTAACATTTTGCCTTTGTTAAGCATGAGGTTCCGGGATCGAGTTCTGTGGAAACTATAATAGTTAAATACTGTCTATAGTTTACGCGAGTAGTACACATTTAAATAAAACACTTTAACAGTTTAAAACGCGATATATTAGTTAAACTTATTTGAAAATGTTGTGTCCGCTGTGACAACGGCTGCTGTAAACATCCGAAACGTCGGGCCGAAGTTAAAAATCAGTTTCGAATAAGTTTAACTAATATATCGCGTTTTAAACCGTTAACGTGTTTTAAACTATAATAGTTTCTGTCGAACGAGTGCTGATGATCTATTTGCTTTTAAATAAAACACATTAACAGCATAAAACGCGATATAGGTTAAATAGTTAATAATAGTAATAACTACGAGTCTCTGATGTCAAAGGAAAAACTGCTACGCTAGCGCCATCTGTTACGTCGTAGTTGGTATTTCGCGAAACAGGGTGGCTTAAAGTGTTTTATTTAAAAATTTAATAGCGTAAACTACGGTTTAACGTTTTGGATACTTTACAGCAAAATTGTCACGGGGTGGGGGGTGGTGTGGTTTCATCTTGGATCTTGACAACAACTTTTCAACTTCCAAGAATCGAACTGCTCTATAACCTTAGTAGCTTTGAAGAGGAGTTACATGAGCTTTATACAATTAAAACCCCGTTTGCTTTTCAGGTATTCACAACAATTCTTCGAATATTATGTGAATTTCTACGCAAACACTGCAACGCGAGCTTCCCCCTTCATTGTTGGGTTGATGGTTGGTTATATTCTGTGGTTGAATCGAGAGAAAGGATTGTTTTTATCTAAGGTATGTATTACACTACAGCAGCGGGCGGCTAGAGAGACATTAATGGGCGAATGTCCATCAATGCCGGGTTGTGGAAGACTTTCCTGAAATAGCGTGGAATTTGAAGCTAAGTAGTTCAAAGTCAATGACGAAGTTGACATACAAAGAACATAATTTTGTTTATATGCTAACGTAACTTTTTTCACTAAATAGCTCTTTGTGCAAAGTAGAATGACGAGAAAGGTTTTATTTAAATTAGAATTTAAATGAAACCTTTAGTAATTATCTCTTTGGTAGCCATGTTGCGGAGTAGATGTCTCATTTTTAAATTGATTTGGCCTAAACATAGATTTTCATACAATTATTGCCGGCCGCTGCTCGACCAGTACAGCAAGTTCGATTTATCTCGGAGACGATAATCAAAATTATGTTTATATTTTCAAACACATTTGAGAAAAAAAATATTGTGTTTCTCATCATCGTATGTATAAACCTGTTACTTCCTGTGGCGAATTATATGTTTCACAGACCGGTTTTATTTACAGGCGATTTGACCAGACTTCAGTGCCTGAAATAACTTTTTTTTTCGGAATTTCAATCACGTTTAGCGGTTAAAACGCGAAATAGTTAACCTTTTTTAACCTTGAGCCGCGCCCGCGCCTCTTCGTAAACATAAGTGTGTATTAATCACGTTTCAAAACATTGTAAATGTTTAAACGTGTTAAACTTATGTGGTCCGGCCCGACGTTTCGGTGCTTGCGAGCGTGGTCGGGGCTTAAATATATCACGTTTTAACGTTGAAGTGTTTTACTTATTGTACTACTCGCGAAACTATTGACCATAATGTATGTTTTAAATAACGTTTCTTACAGAGAATTAACTGTTTTCGGAGAAGTTTAATATTCTATCTATTATAATTGGGTCAGGAGCTAGGCCTCCGTCGTCGTCCGACATAGTGTTTGAGGGCGTTAATAGGGTATCGAGCAATGAGACTAAACACTAAACGTTCACAGTTTTATTCGAACACTAAATAAATCACTATGCTGGGTTATAGTGTGGACGATTCCCGGGTATTAGGTCGCAGACGTCCGTCTAACTGTGCGATCCAATAACGAATGCTCTCGACCGACGCCCGGGCTCCGTCCTAGCGTACGGCGTGAAGTTGGCTGCCTTGACGTTAGCTTCAAACCGGTCAACCCCACTCGCACGCTGCGCTACAACTCAGCTCCCGTATTCATGACCGCGCGTTGTCGGATACAACTCAGCTCCCATATTCATGACCGCGCGTTGTCTCCGACACGGCCATCCTGCGCGTCACACGTCCTCGTGTGTTTATTCTAAAACAAAAGAAAAACAGCGCAGTACATCGTTCGGTCATTCTCCCTGACTCTTACTTTCCCTTGAAAATAAAATTCCGTTTCAGTCGTATTATTTTCTTTTATTTTAAAATTCTACATTCAAACAATCATTACAGTTTCCTATTATGTACTTCAGAATTTAATTATTTACACTGGAAGCAAGCTAACTTTACAAAGATCTAAGATCAAATCAACAGCAATAATCATCAAGGTTCACTTCAACTTAATTTAACAGAGGAATTGAAGCGCTACAACCAAGTACCATCTCAGCTTTCCATTGCCCAAAACAAAACAACAATTCTAGCGAAATCATCAAATAGGTCTCATTCGTGGCCTAGGCTATCAAATAACCACCCAAACTGCGCGCATCTTGTAACACAAGATCGCCAAGTCAACCTCTTGACTATACGGTCCTTATGACCCGACCTCCGCCAGAGCTCCCCGCGCACCGCGTATCCACGGACTGCCAAGGCAGATACCGACTTCTATCGGACTACGGCTACGATGAAGACTCTGGTACGGTCTGACCAGCCGAACTGAGACCCTCGCACTCTACTTCACTCTCTACATTTTCTACATCAGATGGTACTTGACTGTCCGGCATCTTCCTCAGTCTATCGTGAGCATACTTATAGCTACGTTTAGAAGTTAAAGACTTTAGAGTATACCTATCTCTATCTAGAACCTCAGTTACAACAAAAGGACCTTTAAACTTGGCATCTAACTTAGTCTGGTTACGTTCTTCGTTCTCTATCAATACGTACTCTCCAACCGAAAATCTCTTAAATTTGGCTTTTGTAGCATCGAAACGCGACTTATCATACTGGGCAGATTTCTCTATCTCTTGTGCTGCGTGATTTCTAACCTCCGAAATATCTACCACGGGAGCGTCATCGGTTGCCATCAATTCTAAGGGGCGCGCTACCTTCCCTATCAACAACTCGAGTGGACTCGCTTGAGTGACCCTATTAACCGTACAATTTAAGGCAAGTTGAACGTCCTCTAGCGAATCTTGCCATGACCGGTCATCGCTGAGCTCTATGGCAGTTAACATTGATTTCAGTGTGCTCATGACGCGCTCTACCTGCCCGTTAGCTCGCGAAGATCCAGTTGCTATTAAATGAAGAGAAATCTTTTTACTATCGCAGAACTCTCTAAACTCACGACTAGCAAAACAACGTCCCTGATCTGCAATGATGCGTTCTGGAGCACCAAAAAGTGAAACGCTGTTTTTGACCGCCTTAATACTACTTTTAGAGTCAATATTAGTCGTGTGGTGAAGAACAACAAATTTTGTGAAAGCGTCGATAATTACGAAAACATACTCCTTGTTATCACTTTTGCCACTAAGTTTTCCCGTCGCGTCTATGTGCACTGTGTGCCATGGGATAGTGACTTTGGGTATGGGGTGAAGCTCAGCTGGAACTCGACCTGACCTTTTTTTTGATACTTTACAAGTGACGCAATTATTCAAAACCTTTCGAACATACCGTGACATTCCTTCAAACCAATAGTAGTCATAAAGTTTTTCCAGCGTTTTTTCCCAACCTAAATGGATGATGGAGTCATGCACATTGGTAACAACGGAAAATCTCAGAGCTCTAGGTACGATAGGTAAGCACTTAGTGCGCCCATTGCGCTGAATTTTGCGATAAAGCACGCCTTTGCGTACCTCGTATGTCTTCGCAATGTCATTCTCCAACTCTCCCTCAGTAAACGCTGTTTTAAGTTTCTGAATTTCCACATCTCGCTGCTGCTCTGCCAGAAGCCAGTTTTCGGAAAGCTCGGCTAGATTAACGTGCCTTTCATTTACCTTAGTAGTCTGTTTCTGGACTGGCTCACAAACAACAGGCAAGGGATTGCGGGAGAGAAAATCGACGTGACTCATCTGCTTTCCTGCTCTATAAACAACATCGAAGTCGAAAGACTGAAGAAAACACCACCATCGATGTACGCGAGGGGTGAGGTCGACTTTGTCTCGCGAAGACTTGAGAGAGTTACAGTCGGTAACCACAGTAAACTTCCTCCCATGCAAATAAGATCTGAAATGTTTTATCCCGTTAACCACAGCCAGAGTTTCCAGTTCGTAGGAATGGTAGTTGGACTCTGCAGGGGAGGTTCGCTTACTGTAGTAACCCACTACACGTCGCTTACCATCGACCTCCTGCAACAACATTGCGCCATAACCGTCTGCACTCGCGTCCGTATGTAATTCAGCTGGATGCTTTGGATTAAATATCGTCAACACCGGCTCATTTGTAAGAATAGAAATGACCTGCTGACGAATCTGCTCGTGATTTTCTTTCCAAACGAAAGAACCTTTGCCCGAAGTAAGCCTATGTAAGGGTGTCATCAAACGTGAAAAATTCGGAACGAATTGACGAAAATACGATGCCAGGCCTATAAATTGCCTTAGCTGTGTGATAGACTCGGGCGGTGGTAACCCTGACAGAGCCTCAATCTTCCGTTTATTCGGCTTGATCTCGCCTGCTTCAACCTCGTAACCCAAGAATTCCACACGTGTCTTTAAAAACGAACATTTCTTTAAATTGAGTGAAAACCCGGCCTTCGTCAGAATTTCCAACACTGTACTCAACCTATCTAATCCTTCATCTTCAGTATCTGACAAAATTAAAATGTCATCAACGTAGACTATGACGTAAGAGTACACTAGCTCACCTAAAGCCTCAACTATTGCTCGCTGAAATACAGAGATAGCATTTCGCAGCCCAAAGGGCATCGTTAGGTACTCATACTGTCCGAACGGTGTAATAAAAGCGGTACGCTCGACTGAATCATCACTAACGGAAATAAGGTGGAAACCACTCGCGCAATCGAGCTTCGTGAAGTATTTTGCACCGTATAAACGAGGTATCTGTTCGGAAATTAGCGGAAGGGGATATCTGTCGGGAACTGTGTTTTTATTTAATTCGCGATAGTCGACGCACATACGTTTGCTACCGTCCTTTTTCTCAACCAACAATGCGGGGCTAGCGAACGGAGATTTGCTCTTTCTAATTATGCCTGCATCTAATAATTCATTTACTCGCTCACGCATTATCTCGCTCTCTGCTGGTGAACACCTGTAGGGGCGGCGCTGCACGGTACGGGTAGGGTCAGCCAAGCGAATCTCACACTTACCCGTTGTAACGCGGGTAGTTGGAAATTTGCACGTAAAATAATGGGAATATTTTTCTAACAACTGAACAAGTGTTTTTATACCTTCAAGTGAAATGTCCGTATTTATGTCTGCTAGATCAATTGTTTGTCTGTTTAATTTTACGTTAACGCACGAATTAACCGTACATGACTTAGAAATAGTAAACTGATTAGCACCTAAACTGACAGTAAAACCTTTACTTAGGATTTCGCGACCTATCATCACATCACTGCGTAGGTACTCGTCTGGCAAAACATGGAATAAGATTTCGGTTGGATAGTCACTAATCTCAATTAAACAAAAAATTTGTTCCACACTGTTCACCTTTTTGTTGCCTATACCAACAAGCGATACAGTATTGTGTACCCGTTTTCCTCTCAATTTACACGCAACAGTCTCTTTAACTAAAGAACACTCTGCTCCAGAATCAAAATGAAATTCAAAACGCTTACCAAGGTGGGTTAGGGAACCGGCCGGGGGCTCAACCTCGCAAAGGTTGACACGTCGTTCGGGCGCCTGCTGCGCGCCGCTGCCGGCGGTCGTGGTCGCGGTGCCAGAAGTACAGCGACTCGCGATGTGACCCGGTGTGCCGCACTTGAAGCAGACCGGGGGTCCGCTCGTGGACGAGCGGGGGCCCGCACGTGCAAATGTGGCGGCAGGGGTACTAGCTGTCGTCCTCGTATCCTTGTTTTTCTGCCTGCATTCTGATTGTTTGTGTCCTAGTCGTCCACAAGTGTAACATTTGATTGGTGCAGTAGATAGTCTAGGGCGTTTGGCATTCTCCATGCTGTTCTTCTCATCAGTCATTGGCGCTTTCCGCTTTAGATAGACAAAGGCTTGTAGCTCTTTTTGTAGCTCAGAACGAGAAGTTATTTCCGTGGTAAAAGCAAGTCGCTGAAGACGTACGTCAAATTGAGCTAAATGTGCGAGTACGATTTGTACAATAATTTGCTCCGAATCCACATTCTTGAAGCGATTCATTAGAGACGACATAATGCGGCTGGCGTAAGTCCCATAGTTCTCCTTTTCACTTGGCTTATCTGAGCCAAGATTAATTAGTGTGGCAGCCAAGGTCTCATTTGGAGCGAACCTCGCCGTAAACAGTTCTTTAAATTCCGGCCATGTTATACCTTGGTAGGTTATTTGCGATAGCCAAGTAGACGCCGTACCTTTAAGAGCCTTGCTGATAGCGACGACGAGCTGGCTTCCTTCTAACGGCGTATCTGTCATGCAGACGTCGGCGGTGGCGCACCATGACAGCGCATTTACCTCGCGTTTGTCTGGATCAAATTCTGGGAAAACCACGTGGTTTTTGGCGGGTAGCGGGCGGTTTAAAGCAGCGATAAGCGCGCGAATTTGCTCGTTCTGCGCGTCGAGTATTTGGCGCCACTGTGCACTGTCGATGCTGCTTCTGCGTGGAATCTCATTTGCTCGATCGTATCCCACATCTGATCTCGAATTAGGGTCAGGAGCTAGGCCTCCGTCGTCGTCCGACATAGTGTTTGAGGGCGTTAATAGGGTATCGAGCAATGAGACTAAACACTAAACGTTCACAGTTTTATTCGAACACTAAATAAATCACTATGCTGGGTTATAGTGTGGACGATTCCCGGGTATTAGGTCGCAGACGTCCGTCTAACTGTGCGATCCAATAACGAATGCCCTCGACCGACGCCCGGGCTCCGTCCTAGCGTACGGCGTGAAGTTGGCTGCCTTGACGTTAGCTTCAAACCGGTCAACCCCACTCGCACGCTGCGCTACAACTCAGCTCCCGTATTCATGACCGCGCGTTGTCGGATACAACTCAGCTCCCATATTCATGACCGCGCGTTGTTTGTCTCCGACATATATATCGACATATATATATCGTTTTTTTCTGACATTTAAAAATCGGAGCAATTTTTTTTTTCTAGAACTGATGCACTATGGACTCTGAGCATGCTGGGATTTACATACGTCGTAGTTATGATTTACGTGATGGCACAACTCCCATATAATTTTACATATGACGATATGGCTTTCAACTGCCTGATGAGATCCGTGTGGGCCGCTTCCGTTGGATGGATAATTATAGCTTGTGCTCATGGATATGGAGGTAATTTAGGATAAAAGAAGACAGACAAGAGCGGGGATTATATTTATGGCTTCATCCGCGTTGACCCGTCATTCTTGCAAGTTGATCTTAAAAGACATACATATAATGTCGCGGACATTTTTTTTAGATTATTTAAAGAGGGATCATTCTTTAATACGTATATACATTTTTGTATGTCTTGAATTATTTCACTCACGCTTTGTTCATATTTCCCGCTGTTTCTTCGCTCCTATTGATTTGATTTGATTTTTAAAATTCTTTATTTCATAATGGCTTACATTAGACTTATCCTAGATTAGCCATAAATGAGTGGATATACATTAATGTTGACCAAGAATATATAATCAGAAATAATTCAGAACTGTATTCACATCATTTATATGTTTTTATTCAACAATATTAATTATAAACTCTAGTAACTACTGAGGGTAGATAACTATTTCTAAAATGTATTAGTGTTTCGCTCTTATTAGTCACAGCGCGATGTTTTATAGCCTTCCCCCCTGAATTTTCCCAACCCCCAAAAAAAAAAAAAAACAATCCAAAACAAAGGTTCCCTGAGATTAGCGCGTTCAAACAAAAAAAAATTTAAGCTTTATATACCGAAACGCGATTAAATTTAACGGCTTTTTCTGTGGACGGCGACCGGGTGAAATTTCGTTACTCCTACCATCAATTTATTATCCAGATTTCCAGACGAGTGAAATGAAATGTCTCTTATGTCTAAGTAAAAACTGCTACGCTAGCGCCATCTGTTCCGTTGAAGTTGGTATTTGGCGACTGGCCGGGTTCTTGGAGAATTGACTAACAGTGTGAGAATTATGCAGGCATCCGAAACGTTCGGCCGTAATTAAAATTTTAACCGTAAAGTGTTTTATAGAAACTAAATTTATGACACATTCGGCTTTTGTATCAATAGGAACGATCAAAATCTCGACGTGATTAAATTTTAACATTATCGTGAAACGTCTAAAACCATCGCCTAATGACACCGGCTAAACAGCTTGAAAGCTTTCCAAATAGCCGCGGATGCATCATACAAAATAATACGTTGACCTATTTTGAAACTCATACTACATTAGGTAACTAATTTGTAACTACGACCCGACGCATATATTACATATCTATTTTATAACATTAATGACACCAAAAAATAAAAGTAAGTACTGTCTATAGTTTACGCGAGTAGTACACATTTAAATAAAACACTTTAACGGTTTAAAACGCGATATATTAGTTAAACTTATTGGTTCCATCTGTTCCGTCGAAGTTGGTATTTAGAGAAACAGATGGCGCTAGCGTAGCAATTTTTTACTTTGACGTCAGAGACATCCTCCATCTTTAGTCTCCCCGTGACCACGGCTGCTGCAAAGCTTCCGAAACGTCGGGTTGAAGTTAAAAATCATTTTTAAATAAGTTTCACTAATATATCGCGTTTTAAACCGTTAAAGTGTTTTGTTTAAACGGTAAGGATTTTAAGATTTTGTCTTATCTAAAGATGCTTTATATCAGCCGTGGTCATAATTAGCTGATACGCGTTTTAAACCGTTAAAACTGTTTTAGTTTTAGAAGGGCTCGTTTGGATTCAAGGGTTTGCATTCAGACATGTTGGACTTTGTCTAGAATATTAAAAGGGTGGTAGGAAGATCAAAATTCCATACGTCACGAACCACTGTCCACAGATAAAAAGTCGTGAAGTTTAATCGCAGTTCGGTTCTGTGTATTTCCAAATATCCAAAGCCAAAATAGATCGACAGCGTCTTGCTTAAATGTTATACGCCTCCCATTAAGTGATGCTCGATGACGTGCAAAGACATCTTTATCATAAAAAAGATGTTGCTTCCAGGTCCAATAAACTGGTTCCTGTCGTTGCCTATGTGGAAACTGCCGTCCAGGATATCTTATGCTGTTTACTTGATCCATGTTCAAGTCGAGGTATTGCATACAGTCGGTGTTGTAAAACCTCGTTACTTTACTGAAATTGACACTGTAAGTATTTGACGAGCCAAAGGTACAATTGTAGTAATATTTAAAACTTGGATTGGATGGTGGGACTTTGGGACATGGTGGGACCTATTCAATAGTATTATGTTCTCAATACTTTCCCTCCTGGGAAATATGGTAATTAAATTGTTAGGTCATGCCCTTGGGAAGCATGGGGCGAAATTTCTGTGTTTTACTGATCGACTTTCACAGGCAAGTATTGTATTGGCTTCTGTTACTTCGCTGAAACACTTTATAGTTTACTCGGGATTCAAATTCGGAATCTCTAGAGCTTTTAAGACAATGTTAGGCAATTCGATTAAGGGATATATGGGAGGAGGAGAGGATGTATATAAGGGATATATACTAGATGTGTGCGCTACTTCGTGCGCGAGGAATTTGTTTAGTAAACCTTCTCATCTCGTTCTGTCGCGTTAATTTTAAAAGATAGACATATACTGTTTCGGACATTCTTTTAGATCTTTTAAAGAGGAATCATTCTTTTCTACATATTTTTTGGGTATCTTGAACCGTTTTCGCAACGTACGCAACGGAAACCCGCTAAGTCAAATATTTTTTTTTGACTTTGCGCTTCGATTTCCCCACATTTCCCTCTCTTTCTTCACTTATATTGGTCGCAGCATGACGTTTTATAGTCTAAAGCCTTTTTCAATAAACGCTCTAACCAACACAAAATAATGTTTCGCTCTGAACCAGTAGTCTCTGAGATTGACGCGTCCAAACAAACTCTTCAGCTTTATTAGTATAGATTTGTGGCTTTTCAGTTATACTCCTGCGCAAGTTATGTTACGATCTCCATGATCCTTGGCTTCTGTATTTGTATTCTGGTTGATGCACCAACTTCAACGCTACTTAAGATACTGTTTGGTAACGTATATACAAAACTTGTACTTAAGTAATTATATAATATGTTTTGTCTTGACAGGCTCGTGTGATGGTAGCAATGTACGGCTAATAAACAACGGGTTCTGGGTCAATCCTCACCGGGTCCAACATTTATCTAATTAGTTTACAATTTTTCCGAAACATGTTGGACAATTGGAAATCTCGATATTAAATGGGTGGTAGGAATATCGAAATTTCGTCCGGGTTACGAACCGCCGACCACAGATGAAAAAGCCGCGAAGTTTAGTCGCGTTTCGGATTTCCGAATATCCAAATCCAAAATAGATCGACAGCACATCGTGTTTAGATGGCTGGATTACTTCACCTACAATCGTGTGAACTCCATGCTGTCTGTCATTCCTTTTCTATCATTGAAGAAATAATTTAAAAATATATGACACTAATAAGCTTACTACTAATCTTAACAGTATATTTATAGTCAAAACATTTTAATTAATAAAAGTTTTTACATACTATTAAAAATTGTTATTTAAAATAAATTGAGAACTTAGAATATATATGCATTTGACAAAATAAAATCTCAATACATCTACTTGCTATGTTATAAAGAAAACAATTCTAAATGTACAAAGACTGCCACCGAAATAGGACGGCATCTCTATAAAAACAATGGAATTATATAATGTAATTTTCGTTTCCAGTTCGTAAGCGCAGTACGCCGGATACGCGCAATGAGGTGGAAATTGAGGAAAATGAAGAAAATAAAACTAAGTTATAATCATTAAAGTACATTAATTAAATTTAAAAAGTGTTTTATTTACTCCACCCAATATAATAATTGAACAATCGCTGCCGCCTGTGGCTTACATAGCTTGTGTTCGAAATTCAAATTCCGAAACAGCGGTTTTGGTTAAAATATTAGCGTGTATGAAATAAAACCTATTTTAATGTGAATTAAAGAAAACCAAATGTTAAGAAGTTTTAAACAAAGCAAACATTCGATTTTCAATTTAATTATTTATTTACTACTGTCTGTAGTTTACGCGAATAGTGGACATTTAAATAAAACACTTCAACGGTTTTAAACGCGATATATTTAAGTTAAACTTGTTTGAAAATGATTTTTTACGTCGAAACATCGGGCCGAAGTTAAAAATCATTTTCAAATAAGTTTAACTAATATATCGCGTTTTGAACCGTTAAAGTGTTTTTATTTAAATATTTAAAGTGTTCTAAATGTGTACTACTCGTGTAAACAACAGACAGTATTTAGATATATGTTTTAAAATGCACTGTGCCCTGATAAAATAATTAGCAAGTAGATTTTATCAGCTACTAAGCTCTTAACATGTAACATATTATGCGACAAGGAATTACTTTATATTATTGTCATTGGACTTTTCATATTTGCCACTTCATTAGTTTTGGAATTACTAATCACTTACGTTGTATCATTCAGATAATAGCCGCTCGTTGGAAAATCAATCTTATACCAACAGCATATGGGTCAAAATCGCAAACACCTGTTATATTGACTCTAAAAACGGGAGAGCGATATTTGATTTAACTGAAATGGTTCATTGCTTTCAGTTACATTTATTAAGTGGCATTTCGATTGAAAATAATAAAAAAACAATGGAAAAGGCAGAAATTAAAACAGGCAAGTCTTAGTAACTCAGTGCAAGTGTTAGGTTCGAAATTCACGTGAAAAATTATTATTAAACATAGATTATAGATTGATAGAATTACGATTCGGGCAGGATTTAAACGTCCGTTTTTTACTTATTTGTAATCGATTTTTAATTTATACGATGCTATCGTGTGCAATAGCATGTGAAGATTAAAGTTTTCAAACAAAAAATTATTGTTTTAAACAGTGCGAGTGATGTGTCGGACACAATTTTAAGTTCGTTTTATAGAAAGTGGGTTTCGAATCCAACGTGCAAAAATACTAATTTAAAAATTTCTTTATTATGTAACTGGTTTGTAAGACACAAATATATATATATAAAGCGAGTAGCATAAACATACATAATTTGTGAAAAATTCTACAAACAGACTGGTGACCGACAGACAGACAAATATTAAGGTAAAAAAGAATCAATTAAGAATTAACAGTTAAAAATTCTGTCTATCACAAACAAAAGTACAATTAGATATATAACTTTCACACGAGTATTTATATAAAAAAAATAATTTAACGGTTTAAAACGTGTATTAATTGTACAATATAAATGTAAATTCGGGAAATATGTCACGGTTAGCCACTGTGGTCACGAAGATTATTTCTATTTAAATAAAACTGTTTTAACGGTTTAAAACTCGTCATTTTAGCGAACAATTTATTTTAAATACCCAACGTTTCGGATGCTTTACAGCAGCCTTGACCACGGCTGCTGTAAAGGTGTCATATAAAATATATACCTAAATTAAAAATAAATTATCTAATATATTACGCGTTTTAAACCGTTACAACTGATTTTAATATACGTGCCGTACGCGTAACAAACAATACTTGCTTTATCATATGAATTCGATGTTACTTAATTGTGCGAGCTGGTACGTCAGTTCGAGTCCCGCCTGATAAAGTATTTAATGTGTTATAGGTTACGGCTATGGCATCCGCCATCTTCAAATGATATGCATGGGATTGAATATGATAACATTGTTTATTGGAAGAGGAAGCATGGGCGTCGCTGTACTGGCTATGACAGACATCAGCAGACGAAGAGATGCGAGAGTTGAGGTATGTATTGTCTGTAAACTTTTTCGACCGGCTCATTGTTTTAATGTATGGCCCATGTGTGCTACCGAGGTGGAAATAGATGAAAACAAAGTCATAATGTAAATAAAACACTTTAACGGTTAAACCGTAAAAAAAAAAAACGCGGTGTATATTCTTATTATATTTGGAAATTGTTTTGATTGCGGCCCGACGTTAAATATATATCCCCCTTTTAAAACGTTAAAGTGTTCGCATTATTTATAGACAGTATTTAAAATCTAACTTGATATTATTATTATAACAAAATATCGCGTTTTTATAACAAACACTAACTGATCTTCAGATAACACATTATCTATGAAGATAATTTAGATAAACTTGTATGAAAATTATTTTTACTAGCAGCCTAGCCTTTATTTTATTTCTGTAAATACTACGCATTTCTCTGTTATAATTTGAAATCTGCGTCTCCCCGTGACCACGGCTGCTGCAAAGCCTCCTAAACTTTGGGCCGTAGTTAAGATAATTATGAGACAAGTTTTACTAATATATATCCCCTTTTAAAGCGTTAGATGTTTTATTTAATTATCTAGCTGTTTTTAGATTTACGACTGGGATAAGAAAACCCAAGGCATCATCCTCTCGTCTTTCTTCTGGGGGTATATGTTGATGCAGGTGCCAGCTGGTCTCCTATCCAAGAGGTTCGGGGGTAAACTCGTTATCTTCGTGGCTTTGTTGGTAAACGGCTTCGTGTGTGGTCTTCTACCTTCTATTGTCAAAATCGTGAGTAATCTATATTTAACAATTTTAATGGTTTTAAACGTGAATTATATACAATCTACTTCTGAAAACTTTAATACTCATCGAACATGTAGCATGATAGAAAACGGGCCGTAGTTAAAAATAATTATCAAATAAGTTTATCTAATATCGCGTTTTGAACCGTCAAAATATTTTATTTAAATGTCTACTACTCGTGTAAACTACAGACGGTATATGATAACATTATATAGATTAAAAATGTTACATTAAATAAATATAAAAACACTAACGGGGTATTACAGTGTTTTATGCTGCCGCGCTTACCAATTGAGTTCCCGTGTCCGTTTATCGTGTGACACGGTAGCTCAATTGGTTTTTTATTCTCTACGGGACTGTCAATCCGCGATAGTTTTCCGCGCTATTGTCTCACCATATATTTAAACCTCTTTAATAATCTCCATAGTTTACGCGAGAGCATTATTTTGAATAAAACACTATTAACGGTTTAATTCGCGATATATATATTAAGTAATGGCCACTGCAAAGCATCTAAAATAAATAAATGTTGTTTCTGAATAAACGTATTCTATTCCAAAATCCATCGCACCGTAGAGCTAAGTACAGTAATAAATGTGTGTGGCACTTTAAACCGTCAAACGTGTTTTATTTGAATAGCAGTTTAGCCATTCTTGCGTTACAATGAGTAAATTAAACACAACTTAAGTTTAAAGAATTTATTCTCTAAGATTATGTATACAATCACTTATGAGAATATACATAGCCTAATATAAAAACACTTACAATAATGAAATGCGAGTTTTAAATAAAATTAATTAATGTTATACAACTTGTCTACCCTCATATTTAAATGAGGGTAGACAAGTTGGTAAATATAAACATGTTTACGATCAGGTAATTACAATATGGAATTTAAGGTGGGCTTACATGATGCGGTAAACTTATTATCGATATGTTTTTGTTAAAGGGTGGTTGGCAGATAGTATGCGCTTGTCGATCTCTGATGGGGCTATCCCAAGCCTGTCTCTTCCCAGCAAGTCACACACTCTTGGGGAAATGGTTGCCCTCGCACGAGCGCACATCGTATACCGGTCTGGTTTATGGGGGTAAGTTTTTTTTAAGATAAAGGTTGACAGAATTTTTTTTTATTTATTTTCGATTTTTAAAACATATAGTGCCTTCATGTGCAATAACATGTAAAAAATTATAAAGTTTTCAAATTTTTACAGTTGATATTGTTTTATTTCATAAACTGAATTTTATTTTAATTAGTTAATATGCCTACGATTAACGGCTAGTAGCCTTGTGTTGGAATTCCGGAAAAATATGAGGAAGCTTGTCTCTTAGTTCAGGAGTTATCTCGTCTTGACGCATGAATTATTGTTCTTAAACATCTACAATTATACTACTCACCAAAATATTAGCTAGTCAAACACACAGACACCTAACAGAAGCGCCAACTTTTATGCGCGTGTATTTGACTAATCAGATCGTTACGTGACGTAGCGACAACGCGTTTATAAGAAAATATCATTCAAGCTTTACATTGTGCGAGAGGCGTAAGTATCAATAAGATGAAAAATTTTAACGATGAGGTGTGGGACTCGGTAGGTCAATTGGTTAAAACAGACCGCTGACAATGCCGGTTCAAGTCCTGCTAGAGTCGAAATTTTTTAAATTGAATTTGGATTTTATAAAATTATCAATTCAATAGGTTTTGTAAACAAATTCTTACTTCCAGGATGTCAACTGGGTATCGTCATAGCCATGCCAGTGTCTGGCCTTCTAGCAGCCACCACCCTGGGCTGGAAGCTGATCTTCTACGCCATATCAGCGATTATGTTCCTAAACGCTTTTATATGGTACTACTTCGCTGCCAGTTCCCCTGGACAGCATAAGCTTATATCGCCAGAAGAAAGAGAATATATTGAGAGGGATTTGAATGTGTCCCAGCCAGCTGTAAGTAGACAGTTTCGTTATCACACGGACTGATGAGACAGTGAGGTTGTAATGGCTACTCCAAATCGGAGTTTTCGAAAAAATTATAATGATGAAAATTAACCATACGACGTTAGATAAAATATTTTAAACGGTTTAAAGCGCGAAATTCATTGTTTATATATGACACGCAATTTAGCGACGATGTTTGTTAAACGTATATACTATTGTGACGTAGCAAGTAATCTAAGTATCAATTTAAATGTATTAACTTTATTTTAATAGACATTAAAACAGAACAACTTTCAACGTTTAAAACCGTTTTTCGAGCTGTAGTTAATATAAATGAAAATAAGTTACCTAATATATATGCATTTTAAACAGTTTTTTTTTAAATTTAAACAAAATCAGTGACGAAATTAATATTTCATATTATAGATCAAATCATTCAAATCTTTTTATGGCTCAAAAATTTTAAAACAATATTATACCACACGGGTGAAGAGCGTAAAATTTAATTTAGCACTTCTGGTTTATTCTGTGGACCTTATTGCTAATGAAGGAACCACTTCTTAATTACTAACTGTCTTGTCAGATAGTTTAGCGATGGAAGCCAAGACCTAGCGGTTCAGGTTTTACTCGCTGGTCGCTGCTGTCCACTTAACAATTGCACGTGGTCGCTAGACGCGTCGCCGTTCACGCCAGCGACTTTTTCTTAGCCGAGCTGTGCGATTCTCTTTGACTAATCATCTTGTATTACAGAATTTCCGAACGCCCTGGTTAAAGATATTGGGTACCCGAGGCTTCTGGGGAGCGCTGGCGGGTCATATTGGATCATCTGTGGTTTATATCCTGTTCTTCGTGGACATGCCAACATATTTGGAGAAGGGGCTTAATATCAGTTTGACTAGCGTAAGTAGTTGGAAAACTTCAATATTTTCCACATGTGATTGTAAAACAGTAACACGGACGGCATCTGAGCTCGCAATGGATTGCAGAATTTTTTTGGCGCCGGATAGGAAATGGTAGCTTAATTGGTTAGAGCACTAGCGCGGAGCCACGTGGTGCTGGTTCAAGTCACGGATGTGTCGTTTTTTTTTAAATCATAATTAGTGTTATTCTACCATCGCATGGTTTATAAACTGCTATAAATTTTATATCTAAGTGTATATCAATTATCTTACATAACCAATTGTTACTGTTAATTCCTTTCATCTAGGTACATTCCAGCAGACCACATCATGGCCCAGTTAGTCTTATAACACTCTTCTTATAACTAACAACTTGACGGTTTAAAACGCGAAAAATATTAGTTAAACTTGTTTGAAATTTATTTTAAGTACGGCCCGACGTTTTATACGCTTTGCATATATAATAAAAGGATATATTGTCAAATAAGTTTAACTAATATATTTCGCGTTTTAAACCATTGAAGTGTTTTATTTAAATGTGTACTACTCGCGTGACTACAGACCGTGTCGTCATAACTTTTTCTTGTGTCTTAACAACGTAAGGTTGGCTTACAGATCAAAATTCTATGGCATAAACATATTTAGAATGATTCACTTTCCAAGCTGTTCCAACTGCGTTGTTGAATATTTCCTTACAGAGCGCAACGCTGTCAGCCTTACCTTACATAGGAATGGTGGTTGGGAACGTGATATCTTCTCTTCTCTGCGAGAGATTGTACAACAAGGGTGTCTTCCGATTGGTTACTTTAAGAAGAATCTTTAATAGTATAGGTAAGTCATTTAATTAAATAAAAATGTTTTTTTTAAATAAAACACTTTAACTGTTTAAAACGCGATATATTAGTTAAACTTATTTAAAAATGATTTTTAACTTCGGCCCGACGTTTAAGCATAAGATGTACAATTGGTAGATACATATTTAAATAAAACACTTTTAACGGCTTAATAATAATAAACAGTTTAATGCTGGTAACTAATAAATTATTATAACATAATAATAATAATAAAAGTATTAAATTAAATAAAAACGAGATGCCAAAAGGGGTTCAAAATGTGAAATTTTTAAATATTGCCTGACCTTTCGGATGCTTTGGAGCAGCCGTGGACACAGGGGGCTATGAGTACTAATAAGATAACGAATACAATTCGCTTTTTGAACCGTTTAGTTATCATTATAAATATTAACGTTTCGTTTAGGTGTCGCTGGCGTTACTGTCGGTTTGTTAGCTCTGTCCTTTGCCAAATCGGACAGCAAAGCTTTGGCTGTTGGAATGCTAACCGTGACTCTCTCTCTCTGTGGCTTTGTTTCTGCTGGATTTATGGTGAGTTCTTTTAGAAGTTTAATCTCTAAAACATTAAATTCTCCTGTCACAAAATTATCTTCTTCATAAAATTATCCTGTTACAATTGTGCGCGAACACTCCAAAATTCTGTATACTTTCGTTAGGCCAGAGAGAAGATTTTTTAAATTGAAGTATGTATACGCATAAAGCATTAATCCGACACACGCTTGACCGTTCAACGATAAGGCAGTGTTAGTAGGTAACCAGCTCGTTTTTGTTAATATGTATAAAATTTATTTTCACTGGCAAAATGTTAGTTAACACCGAGAATCGAACCCTGGGGAAAAATATGTTGTTTCAGATGGGAACAGAAGGTTGAGTAAGTACTTACCTGTCAATAAAATATAATACATTTAGTTCACGGGGCGTCACTGCAAATCGGTGTTAAAAAAAATTAGCTCAAATGTTTTACTTAACATATATAATTGTCTGGTTCTTTTAATTCCAGATGAGTCTTCTGGATCTATCACCGAATTACAGCGGTGTGATGCTTTCTATCACCAATTGCATCACCTCGATGGGGGCAGTTTTGACTCCCATCACAACTAGTTTTATTTTGAGAAACGATCCAGTGAGTATCGTACACATTCATACGCCTTCTCAGAATATTACCAATAGTCTTGTAAGTGTATTAAATAAAAAAATAACCATTTTAAACGTGAAATATTAATTTATTAGTTAATCTAACGCTTCACGGACAATCAGAAGGTACATTTCCTGATCACTGCCTATTTAGAGAATCTAAAAGCCACGTCCTTAAGTAATATTTCACGTTTCAAACCGTCAGAAGTGTGTGTACGATTGTGCGTGGATGATCTCGTCTTCGCGAATTGTGTAGCGAAGCAAATAATAGAATTTATTCGTTAGTTTGGACGCTCTAATCTCAGGACCTACTGATTTGAATTGAAAAATGTTTGTGTTGGTTAGAGCAGAGCAGCAGAGCAGCCAGCAAAGAGGCAGCGAAATGATTCAAGATATTCAAATAAAACACGTTAACGGTTTAAAACGCGATATATTTTAGTTAAACTTGTTGGTCATGGGGACACGAGGTCTCCCCGTGCCGGCTGTAACGTCCGGCAGTAGTTACATTATTTTTTAAACAAGCTTAACTAAAATATATCGCGTTTTAAACCGTTAAAGTGTTTAATTTAAATGTGTACTCGCGTAAACTACAGACAGTATCGATTCAAGATGCCTTATAAATATGTATGAAAGAATGATTCCTCTTTACACGATCTAAAAAAATGTTCGTGACAGTATGTCTATCTTCTAAGATTAACTTGCAACGACGTCGCGGGAAGCAGCTAAGATTTATAAAGATGATAAAATCAGTTTTGCAAAAACCAATTTGGATGTCCAAACTGGTTTTTGCAAAACTGATTTTAACTCTTTCGCGGACGAAGTCGCGGGCACCAGCTATATAATACCAATTCCATACTTTCACAGACGGATGTGAGCCGCTGGCGCATCGTGTTCTTTGTTACAGCAGTCATCGGTGTGATAAGCAACACCCTGTATGTTCTTCTTGTGAGCGCGGACCGTCAAGTGTGGGACGATCCTGACTACATGGATAAACGGAAGGCTGACCCGGGTAAGAATTGGGTAGAGGAGGACAGACAAGCACGCCCCATCACTTGATAGTAGAGGAAACCCCTATATAACTTCTAAATAAGATACGCTGTCGGCCTATTTGGCATTGGATATTCGGATATCCACAGATTGAAACTGGAACGCGATTCTTGGCGGCTTTTCGTCTGTGGACAGTGGATAGGGGAATTTCGATATCTACCACCCATTTGATATCCAGATTTCCTGACGAATACGAACCTATTTCAGAAAAATTATAAGTTGATTAGACAAATGTTTTACCCAGTGAGGGTCGAATTCAGGATCCGTTGATTATTATTATCATTAGATGCTATGGCTGATAACCAAAGGGCCATTAGTTTGGTCCCCACCTAGCCTAAGTTATTAAAGTTAAAAATATATTGCACGTTTTAAACCGTTAAAATTGTTATATTACGGGCTATATTAAATTAGAATCTTTCTTTTTCAGAGGAACGAAAACCGGCGTTATCCAAAGAACATACTGTTGAACTGAAACAATTAGATCGATGAATCTCCTGAAAATTGCAAAGAATGTAAATATTTAAATAAAAAAAACACTTTAACGGTTTAAAACGCGATATATTAGTTAAACTTATTTGGAAATGATTTTTAACTTCGGCCCGACGTTTCGGATGCTTTGCAGCAGCCGTGGTCACGGGGAGACTTCCGAAACGAAGTTAGTTCTATCATTTTCAAATAAGTTTAACTAATATATCGCGTTTTAAACCGTTAAAGTGTTTTATTTAAATGTGCACTACTCGCGTAAACTTTAGACAGTATAGAATGTAAATATGTATATTATAAGTTGATATATAGATAGATATAAATTATTTTCAAAACCTCCGTCCTTTCATTTTTGAATTATTTTTCCTTAGCGGCAATTGAATTAATGAAGGTAACTGGTCAATATAAAGTGAATAAGAAGACTTAAGATGCGATCATCTATACTAATATTATAAACCTTTTGAAGAGTTTGAACAAACGAATATACAAAATAACTAATACATTTCTCGTTTAAACCGTTAAAAGTGTTTAATTCAAATGTGTACTACTCGCGTACTCGATTCTTACTTTCGTACTCTATATTTGTACCAATCATGACGTTATTTATGAGACAGACCCAACTTTTAATTAACGAACTCACGTCATTAATTTTTAATCACCATTAAATGCTTCCGTCATACACGAGTTTCGTCATTAATAAACGGTATTTAAATTACGAATGTTTCACGCTTAATTTCGTTATTACCTCGTCAATAACAGCTTGCAATGAAACCAAGTGACAGTTATTTATTAAGCTGCCCTTATAATTAACAAATTACGAAATGTCCTACTGATGGTATGTATACTGCATTGCTGGTAGTACATCTATACTATCTATACTTCTATACTAATATTATAAATGCGAAAGTAACTCTGTCTGTATGTCTTTCTGTCCGGCTTTAACTCCGAAACTACTGAATTGATTTAAATGAAATTTGGTACACAGATATTTTAGAGCCCGAGAAAGGACATAGGCTACTTTAAATGCCAAAAAAGGGTTGAAAGGGGGATGAAAAATTTTATGGAAATTCGTGGTTTTCGAAGTTAAAACAATGAAACTTTCTTCTTTGGCTTTTTAGGAATAGGAGTGAGAGTGGGAGTTAGAGTTATGTGAGGTGAGAGTGTTGCGGCAAAGTAGCACTTACAACATAGATTGGTTGCCTTAAATGCGCCCTTACATAAATTAATAAACAGCTCAAATAATTAAAAATTCTACACCAAGTCCCTATTCCACGCGGACAAAGTCGCGGGCACAGCTAGTACGTACATATATTTAAATTCAGATGACTCAAATATTTCTTATACTCGTAATAATTATAGTCGTATAAGAGCTCGTTTGTTAGTTTGAACACGATAAGTTCAGGAACTATTGGTTCGAATTGAATTTGTTTTTGTGTTGGTTAGAAGTTAGAACATTTGTCGACGAAGGCTTGGGTTAACATAAGAGTGGAAAGTAAAGGGAAATGTGGAGCAAATAAGGAAAATTTTTCATCTATATGGGAATTACATTTTAAAATACTTGCCAGCGAGTTTACTTATATTGATGTCTATGTTCAGTTTGATAAACGTGGTCCAACCGTCTAGTGAAATGATAAAATCAAATATTTTTAAGCGAAAAGTAGCCGACTCCCAACTGTAAACGAAAGAGAAGAAAATGATTTAACAATTGCCACTCACATGGTAGCTCAATTGGTGCGAGCAGCGGTTCGAGTCCTGTCCGTGATTTTCGAATAAATTTAATTTTCACAAAATAATATATTTTTAGATTTAGACACAATAGAAATGATTAAATAAATCTTTTTATAAATAACTACCATAGTTTGTCTTATACGTACAAGGAAGTCAATAAGAATACGTGAATACACACAGGTACATAACGAGAGATAAGGGATTGAAAATATTTATATGAAATAAATACAATGATACTCTCCGCTTACGCGACAAGTACAAATTTAGATGAAATACTTTAACGGCTTAATACGCTATGTATATTAGTTAAACTTCTTTGACGATGATATTAACTACTTTCGGGGAGTCCCCGTGACCGCGACTGCTGCAAAGGCCGACGGGCCGTGGTTAAAATAATTCAAATAACTTTAAATAATATATATCGCGTTTTAAACGGTTGAAGTGTTTTATTTAAATACAAAGATCTTACCTCTATACAGCTGAATCGGGGAAGATCGAATATTCAAGCCATACAACACCTACCGATTATGTGCTATGGGCCTATTTTGGGTTTGGATATTCGGAACTGACTGTGACTGTGACCCGGAAATTTCGATATTTCTACCACCCACTTAATATCCAGATTTCCAGACGAAGACATGTTTTAGAAAAGTTATAAATTGATTACAAATGTGTTGGACCCGGTAGAGAACTCATGCAATGGTAGCAATGTATGGAATGTTAACGGGTCGGGCGTGGGACTCTCACCCATGTTTTACACACAATTTATAATATAAGTATGTGAAACGCGTTGGATTTTGTCTATAAAATCTCTTAGTTTATTTAAAATATCGCGCTGTAAATCTTCAACATTGGGCCATAGTCAAAAATGTCATTTAATTTGTTTCACATTTTCCTAAGGAGGGTTGCCTGGAAGAGATTGCATAATAGCGATAGGGCCGCCCTTCTAATCCATAGTTTATTAATTGCGTAATGTAAAGAGTAAATAAATAAATTTCGCATTCTAAACCGTCGAAATATTATATCAGTGGTTTTTTATCGTTTTTCAGGCTCACGAATTACCTGAATTATATGAAACGTGAAGTTTATCAGATAACAAGTAGTCATTCTTAACTCTTATTGTTTTGTAGACAAAATTAGATAAATACAAGTCATGAGAATTGAATACTTAGCATGACGTAATAAGGCTGAAATTCAATAAACACGATTCGTCAAATCACGATCGTTAAATGTACACAATTTAAACTAGCTATGTCAGCGACTTCGTCCGCGTAGAAAGTTATTTGGAAGCTCGTTATAAACTTAAGCTGTTACCCACGACGGCAGTCGCGTCCCGTCGTTACTTAAAAGATAGACATAATATATGGTGTTACTCTTTTTTAGATCATTCGAAGTGAAATATTTTTTTTCTAAAATATTTTTCGGACATCTTAACCGTTTTCGCTCCTGATAGATGATACCCATAATAAAAATAATTTTCCCCGCTCTCTCCACATATCCCACTTTATCTTCGCTTCTATTAGTCACAGCGCGATCTTTTATACCCTCCCTTGATAAATGCTCTAACTGATACAAAACATTTTTTCAATACCCACCAGTAGTGCCTGAAGTTAGCGCACTTAAACAAACAAACACTTCAGCTTTATATATTATTATACATGTTAATTAAACAAAGTTAATGTAATGAAATTTTGTAAACAAAATGTCGTCTAGATAACGATAGCGTTCGTTTAGTGTAGTACGAAATTTTATATTAAATTAATTGTACGCGAGAATGATACGGAACCAAAAATGGACACGGAATTCCTGAGATACAAATTCGAAGATGGACACGACGGAGTCATAACGAAGACCAGTGCGTATTGATTTATTTTAGTAAAGATCTACTTGCGTATAATACACATTAAAGCGAAACATCTTAACGGTTTAAAACACGAGATATATGAATTATTTACTTAAGTATTGTCTGTAGATTACGCGGGTGCTACTAACATTGATATAAGACACTTAATTGTTTAAACGTGAAATATAATAAGTAATTGATATATATTTAAGTAGTCTGTAGTTGACGCGAGTAGTACAAATTGAAACAAAACAATTTTAACGGTTTAAAACATGAAATGTATTTGGTAATTTATATATTGAATTATTGTCTGTAGTGTATGCGAGTGCTACAATTTTAAACAAAACACTTTCATCTGTTTAAAACGCAAAATATACGCGGTGACTTATTTATTTAAGGATGGTCTGTAGTTTTTGCGCGTTTTACAAGATTGAAACAAAACACTTAAGGGCTTAAAACCTAAAATAGATTTGTTAACATATAAATTAAAGTATTGTCTGTAGTTTACTCAGTTGTTTTAAATAGTTGACCGGCCAATTGCTCGCATGCAAGAAGTAAACTAGTTAACGTATAAAAATCGCGTTTCAAACCGTAAAAAGTGTTTTATTTAAGTAGCATTTTTTATCTAGGGATACTAATTTCACAGTGGTTATTATAGATATTTTAAATGCTTACCTGTTACTATCGTAACTAGTCTAGTAGTAATCTAGTAAAATAGTAATGGAAGGTAAAAAAAAACGAACCGTTCTCTACCTTTGCCCCAACTCTACAATTTTCAGAATTCAAGATTGGTATACGCCACGTCCAAGTTCTTTATATGATCCTGTGTTCAGTCGTGATGGGAATCCTGCGAGGCAGCACTGCTGTTGGCATATTGGCTATTTCTGATTCTGACCGTAATAGCTCTTTTGTTGAGGTAATAAAGCATTCATTTATTACACTATAGTTATATTATACAACTGAAGAGTTTGTTTGTTTGAACGCATTGATTTTAGGAACTACTGGTTCGATGGAAGGCTTCTAAAATCATGAGGATGCGACAAATAGAAGCAAAGAAACAGTGTTATGTGGTATTGAATACATAAAAGCGAAAATTTCCACCCTACCATCACTAACCCTCATTTATAACACTGATAAATTATCACTTAGTAAAGTATCAAACATGTTAGACCCAATGGCGATTGAATCCACGACCCATTGTATATTAGCCACACTTTGCAACCATTGCCAGCTGGATTAAAATGTTTAACCAGCCGGAATAAATTGAAAATAAGATTCTATTAAAAAAAACACTTTAACGGTTTAAAACGCGATATATTAGTTAAACTTATCGAAAATGATGTTTAGCTTCGGCCCGACGTTTCAATAAGTTTTACTAATATATCGCGTTTTAAACCGTTATAGTGTTTTATTTAAATGTGTGGTACTTGCGTAAACTATAGACAGGATTTAATAAGATATTAGATTGAAAAGAAATGCGACACGGGCAGGTCTTGAACCGACATCCGCTTTGTTCCGTGCTGTTGCTCTAACCGGCGTACCTGTTTCATATTTCAGATCCACCATTGGTGCAGACGAGTCCAGGGTACAATCCTATCCTCCTTCTTCTTCGGGTATGGCTTAAGTTTGATACCAGCTGAGGTATACCTTTCTCAGCTTGGAGAGAAGTTTGTTCTAACTTCTGTTCTTCTAATTAATGGTGCTTTCTCTTCTGCGATGCCTATCATTGTGAACAAGGTATGTATTCCAACTTTTATCCGCTCTAGAAGAATCATTTTTACGGCACCTTGGTCTAATGGTAGCAATGCATGGCTAATAAACAACGGGTCATCAGTTTAACCCCCACCAGGGTTTAAATAAACCACTTTAATGGTTTAAATCGCGAAATATATTAGTTAAACGTATTTGAAAATTATTTTAACTACGTGTCGGATGCTAAGCAGCAGGCATGGTCACATAGAAACTAGAAACTAATATATATCGCGTTTTAAGCCGTTACAGTGTTTTATTTAAATGTGTACTACACGCGTAAACTATACTAAACGACAGTACTTAAACACTAACACTAATAATACAAAAAATAGCAACCAAAGAAAATTGTAAACCAATATATTTCGCGTTTCATACAGTTAAAAATATTTTGTTTAAAAACATTATTTAACAGCGTGAACGCTAATACAAACTGATGTTTTAGTACCACGCTGTGTGATAGAGACAGAACGAGCGTGTGAGCGAGATAGCATGAGTGTCCGCCATTTTCAGATCGTAGCTTTACCCTCACGAGACAAAGTCGTAGTACTACGGACCCTTGGTAATTTAATAACGCTTGTGTGTGCTTCAGTTTCGAGTCCACTTAAAATGCGAAAGTTGAAATATGCTTATGTAACTTTTCAACAACCTTTCAAGTAATTAATAAATTTCAAATTATTTTAATATAAGAATCTGTATAAATAAAACACTTTAACGGCTATAACGCGATAAATATTAGTTAAACTTGTTTAAAAATTATTTTTAACTACGCTTAACAGCAGCCGTGGTCACGGTGATACTTAGCCGTTAAAATGTTTTATTTCATTGTGTATTACTCGCGTAAACTACAGACAGTGTATACGAATCCGATCAGAACGCTATTTTTACGTCAATTCTAAATTTAAAATTTAAAACAAGAAAAACACTGCGCGAGAGGCGCATGTATACAAGTTTGAAAAAAATCGACGATGACGTGTAGGACACGGTAGCTCGACGGTTAGATCAGCACGGAACGATGTGGACGCCGGTTCAAGCCCTGCCCGTGTCGTAGTTTTTGATCCAATCCAAAATGGATTTATAATTTATGTAACGCTACCGTGTGCGATAACATGCAGTGCAATAAATATTGTTGAAATAAATGTGAAAAGTACTAGAGTATTCATACTTTAATTTAAAATTGTTTTAACAGAGAACAGATTAAGTTGCCCTGTTGACCAATAGGTTTCGATATACAAAACATAAATAATAATAGAAACGATGATACATGAGGCTGCTAGATGCAGAGTAGCCTAAACGCAATTTTATGATTTGACTTTTATAGTCTAAAAATTTTAATCTACAAAAGCACAATGACCTATAATCGTTAACATAATTCTTACACAAATAATAGGACAAATTAATTTTCGCCTAAGAAAATCATTGTTTTTGTTATTAGGCCACTCTGGCTCTAGCAGCCTCATATATCGATTGTATTTTGATATGTATACAAGCGCAATGATTTTTAAAATTCCTTATTTTTCAATTGTATTTAAATAGTTTTAACTTTCTAGGGCGGTTGGATAGCTACATGCAACGCACAGTTTTTGTTAGGCATGACTCAAGCATGTTTGACTCCAGTGAACCAGAAACTGATCAGCAACTGGCTTCCACCTCACGAGAGGTCATCATCGAATTGCTTAGTGCAAGGAGGTATATTTTTTAGTCTTGTTGGGTATACATTTGCTTAAATAGATCTGTGGTTAACGCGATTGGTATCTAATGAATGAGGCAATTTTAACGGATTGAAACGCGACATAAATACAGTCACAGCAGTATACGTGCTGTATAGCATTGGAAACTTGGTAGTTTAAAAATAATGTGTTGTTTGATATATTTTGCAACTCAACGAAGACATTATTGTGTTTTTTTTAAAATATTACTTTGGTATTTAATATAAAAAAAAATATATATACTATAAAAACATTAAAATATTTAAGTCAGAAAGAAGTTATGCAGAAGTTTTATTGAAATATTTAAATTAATTATTTATGTTTCACTTGTCATCGGCTCCGAAGTTATTATAAAAATATTTACCAAATCATTTTTAATCAAGTGAATCTAAATGCGTATATTGCTTTGTGCGAAGTAACTTTTTAAAATGGGTTATCATCTATACTAATAAATAAAGATGAAAAGTTTGTTTGTTTGAACGCGATAATCTCTGGAACTACGGGTTCGAATTGAAAAAATATTTTTGAATTAGTTAGAACATTTATCGAAGAAGCGAAGATACAGCGGGAGATGTGAACAAAACTGGGGTCACCTCTGGGTTACAGATGCGTACGCTGCAAAGATGGGTCAAGATACCCAAATAATATATATGAAATAATGTAACCCTCTTCAAATGACCAAATTAAAAGTCCGCGACGGCATATGTCTGTCTTTTAGGATTAACTTGCAAGAACGACGGAAAAGGGGTTTTCAAAACTGAATTGGATGCATCAAATAACGATTCTCGCTGACACAGCTAATTCTTAATGTTTGTTTTATTATCCCATAGACTATTTGTTGCTCTAATGTATACTATATGTATGTTTTATAATTAATGTGTGGTGACTTCGACTTTTACAAACTCCCAGAAGCCTTCCTCGATAAATGGTTTATCTAACGTAAAAATAATTGTATAATTCAAACGATAAAACGCTTTAACGGTTTAAAACGCGATATATTAGTTAAAAGTTAAGTTTTTAACTTCGGCCCGACGTTTCGAATTAAAAACCATTTTTAAATAAGTTTAACTAATATATCGCGTTTTAAACCGTTAAAGTGTTTTATTTAAATGTGTACTACTCGCGTAAACTATAGACAGTATTTAATTCAAACGAGTCTTTCCTGAGTTACGCGTTCAAACAAACAAATTCTTTTTCATAATATAGTTAGTATAGATGTTTTACTTTTCCTGGAAAATTTAGATATTAAATTGTTGATAGGAATCACGTCCAACTCACAAACTAGCCTATGAACTTCCGAATGTCCCAATGCACAATAGGTAACATCCAATTTAGATGTGAAGATAGTAATTAATGCTTTTTAGTTTAAGCTTTGTGTATTATTGTTTATTATAAGTTTTACTAAGTAGGTTAAGTCCTTTTTCTGCTGTCGCACATTCCTTCTTTATTACTGACTTACCTTGTTGGTTGTAAGAGATAGCTATTGTTAGGGCGGAAAAACATTGTTAAAACCCTTAAATATTAATTTATTATCCAAAATTAGGCTTAACCGACAGAATGCGCGCCAACGTTCCTATTTGACAGTTCCTGAGCTAGTGTCGGGACGCGCGCGGTAATCGCGTCGCACTAGTGTTGTGTCGTCCCCGCTAAATCGGAGGATTATTCATATCAGTTCGGCCATCCTGTGTAGTCCTTCGCCCTCGAAGGATGAAGTAGCGCTCCCGCTAAACCGCCGCCGTCAGGGCTGCCAGCGCAGCCACGTAGACTCGGCTCAGCCACCTAGAGGAAATAGCCTCGTAGGCAGTAAATAGCCCCGTAGGCAGTAATAGCCCCGTAGGCAGGTAATAGCCCCGTAGGCAGTAATAGCCCCGTAGGCAGATAATAGCCCCGTAGGCAGTAATAGCCCCGTAGGCAGGTAATAGCCCCGTAGGCAGTAATAGCCCCGTAGGCAGTAATAGCCCCGTAGGCAGGTAATAGCCCCGTAGGCAGTAATAGCCCCGTAGGCAGGTAATAGCCCCGTAGGCAGTAATAGCCCCGAAGGCACAACATAGCCCCGTAGGCACAATATAGGCCAGTAGGCACTATGCCAGAGGGGTGACAGCATCTTGCTTTAATTCGTCCTCTGATGAACAACTGTCTTGCGTAGCTTTCAAAACCTTCATTTAGTCACCTTATGACCAACCTTGTCACAATTGTTACACTTGACCACCTTGTTTAAGTTATTATTTTAAGCATTAAATGAACCCCAGGATTTCACTTCAACGCAGTCCGATGATGTTTTCATACAGGCCAGGTACTTTAACAAAGAATTAGTATCATGACAACCAGCCGACAACGCTCCAACTTCTAACAATTTGTCTCCAAGTGTACCCACAATTGCTTGAGCTATCACATCATCACTCATATTACATGACATGCCAATACCCAGCTTATCATAGTAAAATTTTATTGGGTCTTCATCTTTTGTCTTGATACGGTTAACAAGTTCCCTAATCTGTGACAACTTATTCTTAGTGAATGGAAATGCTGTAATTAATTTTATTTTCCACTCATCCCAGCTAATGTCATAGCAAGTTTGGCGTTCATACCAGCTTTTAGCATAGCCACCCAACTTAGAAGTGCAGTTGCAAATCAAAGTGCGTTCATTCCAGCCATGCATATTAGCAACACCTTCTAATTTAAATAAAACACTTTAACGGTTTAAAACGCGATATATTAGTTAAACTTATTTGAAAATGATTTTTAACTTCGGCCCGACGTTTCGGATGCTTTGCAGCAGCCGTGGTCACGGGGAGACTAAAGATGGAGGATGTCTCAGACGTCAAAGTAAAGAATTGCTACGCTAGCGCCATCTGTTCCGTCGAAGTTGGTATTTGGCGAAACTGGCCGGGTCCTTACAGAATTGACTAACGGTGTCTTCGCGTTTGCTGGTATGCTGTTTATTGGGATCCAGAGTTTTTAATATGGGATCCCAGGTGTTTGATAGTTTGAGGCCGTCCTCCCTATTGAAATTTCGGTGTTTTTTGATTTCAATTGCTTCGCGTACCAATCTTGGAAAAAATCGACTCTCCTTTGCGAGGATTTTTGGTTGGTCAAAGCGAATGTAGTGATTGGGCCCTTCTGATGAGTGTTGGCATACCGCAGATTTGGAGAGACGTTTATGTTTTATATCCGCGACGTGTTCTTTAATTCTGTTTGAGATGCTACGCTTTGTTTGGCCGATGTAGGATAGGCCACAATCACAATCCAGTCTGTAAACGCCTGCATCTTGTAAAGGGATAGTACACTTGCTTGGTTTCAGGAATTGCTGAATCTTCTTGTGCGGCTTGAAAATTGTGTCAATAGAAGCTCGATTTAGGACTCTGCTAATTCTATCTGTAACTCCCTTCACATATGGTAGGTAGGCGGGCTGACGTTTGACTGTGGGTGGCTTGTTCCTGTTCCTGTACCTACCATATGTGAAGGGAGTTACAGATAGAATTAGCAGAGTCCTAAATCGAGCTTCTATTGACACAATTTTCAAGCCGCACAAGAAGATTCAGCAATTCCTGAAACCAAGCAAGTGTACTATCCCTTTACAAGATGCAGGCGTTTACAGACTGGATTGTGATTGTGGCCTATCCTACATCGGCCAAACAAAGCGTAGCATCTCAAACAGAATTAAAGAACACGTCGCGGATATAAAACATAAACGTCTCTCCAAATCTGCGGTATGCCAACACTCATCAGAAGGGCCCAATCACTACATTCGCTTTGACCAACCAAAAATCCTCGCAAAGGAGAGTCGATTTTTTCCAAGATTGGTACGCGAAGCAATTGAAATCAAAAAACACCGAAATTTCAATAGGGAGGACGGCCTCAAACTATCAAACACCTGGGATCCCATATTAAAAACTCTGGATCCCAATAAACAGCATACCAGCAAACGCGAAGACACCGTTAGTCAATTCTGTAAGGACCCGGCCAGTTTCGCCAAATACCAACTTCGACGGAACAGATGGCGCTAGCGTAGCAATTCTTTACTTTGACGTCTGAGACATCCTCCATCTTTAGTCTCCCCGTGACCACGGCTGCTGCAAAGCATCCGAAACGTCGGGCCGAAGTTAAAAATCATTTTCAAATAAGTTTAACTAATATATCGCGTTTTAAACCGTTAAAGTGTTTTATTTAAATGTGTACTACTCGCGTAAACTATAGACAGTATTTAACACCTTCTAAGTTACGGAGCCAATGTTCTACTGAGACAGATGATTTTTGAGGATTAAACTCAGGTATAAAATCATTCCGCCCCACATAACGAACCACTGACTCTACTCTTGGTGTGGTGTCATCATTATTGTAATTTTTCTGTTGTAATTCTTTAATCAACCCTTATAATGCTTCGATTCTCTTATTCTTCCTTTTAAGTTCTTTTTTTTGTCGTTTACTTTTAGATTGTCTATCAGAATTACTTGACCCTGACGAAGAAGCACTAGTAGACCTATTTCTCTTCTGGTGCCGACCCATGTTAATAATTAAAATAAAGTCACACACAATAAACTTATACTGCTGTCTTTAACACTAATAATTGTCTTTGAATAAAGTAAACTTCTTTAACAAAAGTAATTAAATTCAGTAAAAGTTCAATTATCCAAATAGTCCTTAAATTTAGTTTAAAATTAGCACTTTAACAATTTAGAATAGTTCACTTTGTTTATTTATGGGTTGCTGAGCATTTTAACAGATATTAAAGTATGCTCAAATTATCAGTCTACTTATGTAAATACAAAAGTTCATGGAACAATCTCACCAAATAACCAGGAACATTTCAACACGCAACTGATGCATATTCAAGCACCCTGAAATGCAATCGTCACCATACCAGGATAGGTCACACAAATAAACCAGTTTCTCAACCAGAAAATGTTCACCCAAAACTTCAACAAACTTGTTGTACTGGAGGTCAGTGACCCTTAACGGATTGACAAAATTTGTGCAAAAATCAAGTATTAAGTACCGAACTGCATTAAACTTAGTTACTACAAGCGTTCTTATCACTAATTATGTGTGTTATCACCAAATTATATAATAAAAGCGTCTTTTCGCATCCAAAACCGCCAGTTTTTTTTTTCACCAAACTTTGCACTTTAATAGTGAAATTATCGTCCAATTCATCAAAGTTCACTCGTGGGCAAGATCACTTATCGCACTTCTGATATTGTTAGGGCGGAAAAACATTGTTAAAACCCTTAAATATTAATTTATTATCCAAAATTAGGCTTAACCGACAGAATGCGCGCCAACGTTCCTATTTGACAGTTCCTGAGCTAGTGTCGGGACGCGCGCGGTAATCGCGTCGCACTAGTGTTGTGTCGTCCCCGCTAAATCGGAGGATTATTCATATCACTATTTAGCTATAAAGTCGCCGTTTCTCCTTAATTTCTATAAATTTTTTTTCTTGTTTTGTTTTGTGACAATAAATCATATTTGTGTTTGTAATAGGATAAAGATGTTTTCATCTTCTGATCCTAATATAGTCTTTTTTTTAGGTCTTATACTAGGAATTATAATCGGTCTGCCAATATCCGGTATGTTGACTGAATCTCGACTTGGTTGGGAGCTGGTCTTCTATTCGCAAGCTATGATGGCGTTTTCCATGGCAGCCATATGGGGTCTGTTGACAGCAAGTTCACCGGATAACCACAAAGCTGTCAGCGACTGGGAGAGTGATTTCATAAAGGAGTCTTCGAAGCTATATCGCAAGGTAACTTACTGTCATATTGATATGTGTCTATGTAACAAACGTCGGGTCGTAGTTTAAATTATTTAAAAGTAAGCCCGCTAATATATTTCACGTTCGATGTTGTAATAGGATAGGATGTTGAAAGGGTGGTAGGAATATCGAAATTCAGTCCGTGCCACGAACCAACAAACATAGATGAAAAGCGAAGTTTATTTGAGTCTGTGGATTTTCAAATATCTAGAGTTAAAATAGGTCGTCGCACATCTTATTTAGTTTAGTTTTATCTAGTTGGTGTATTTTAGCTACCTTTAAGTAAACGCCATACTCGTTTATCCTTCTATATCATAAAAACATTTATTATTGCTTGCCCATCTTATAGTAATGAATATAATATTTTTACTAATAAAAACGAAAAATTCTCCTTAGACTTTGTAGGGATATTATTTATACAAAAATTCTATGATTTTAATTTGTACATAGCTTTGGGAGCCATTTTGTTCGTCGCACTGTTCGACCGTCGTAACACAGAAACGGTCTTCATTTCGATATAACGTGTTGATGACGTCATTATGAAATCAATTTTTCTCGACTAACGAAATTTGTTAATGTTTTCAGAAAACGTTGAAAAACCCATGGAGCTGCATCTTGAGTACTCGTCAGTTCTGGGCTATAGCCGGCGCTCACGCTGCAACCAATGTCATCTTTACATTCTTTCTGGTGGATATGCCAGCGTATCTGAAGAATCATTTATCATTGGTTGACGTAAGTGTTTAAATTGTATTTAGTGTATTTCACAGCGACGATGAAATCTATACTGACATATAAAGCTGAAGAGTTTGTTTGTTAGAACGCGCTAACCACAGGAACTGCTAGGTCGAATTAAAAAAATATTTTTGTTGGTGGAGCATTTATCGAGGACTTTCAACTAGGACAACCAAGCAGGGTTCACTGATGGAAGGTGATATAACCGAGCCTATAGCATCTAAACATGATGCGCTATCGACCTATTATGGCTTTTTTTCGGAAATCCACAACTCAAACCTAAAGACCCATTTAATATGCAGATTTCCTGATGATGTCAATGTTTTAGAAAGATAATAAATACATTAAAAAGATCTTGGACCCGGTTGTAATCAAACCTGCGACCCGTTGATTGAATTTACTTTGCATTAGCTATACGTAGCATTGGACCAACCAAGTCATTAACATACTAGCTGTGTCAGCGACTTCGCCCGCGAAGAATCGTTATTGGCATCCCAATTTGTTTTTGTAAACCTCCTCTCCATTATTATAAATTTAAACTGTTACTGTCCTTCTCTTAGTTAATCTTAAAAGATTAAATATAGCATCGCGGACAGTTTTTTAGATCAGTTAAAGAGAAATCATTCTTTAATTCATATATTTTGGGTAACTTGAACCGTTTTCGTCGCGTACGCATCAGAAACCCACAGAGATGAATAGATTCCCCGCTGTTTCTTCTTAGACTATAGGCAATAAAACATTGCTCTTATTAGTCACAGCGCAATGTTTTATAGCCTATAGTCTAAGATACACAAAAATATTGTTTTTCAATGGACCAGTAGTTCCCTAGATTATCGCGTTCAAACAAATAAACTCTTCAGCTTTATATATTTGTAATTTTTTTAGGCGACATTTCAAACAGCTCTAGCATTCGCTGCAATGTGGGTAGTTTACATTTTGACAGCACCAACTCTCGACTGGGCGTACCGCATTCGACTTGTCGATCACTTCTTCGACACACGGCATTTTAGGAAACTGATCAACGGGTTTGGTGAGTGATTTTAAGCCTTACAGAGCTATAATTATATTCGTTTATAAATAAAAAAAAACCATTCAAATACAACGGTTTAAAACGCGAAATATACGAGTTGTCTTGTTCACGCTTGGTTTTAACTACGGCTACTGCAAAGTATCCGAAACTCCGTGCCGTGGTTAAAAATAATATTCAAATAAATTTAACTGATATATTTCGTGTTTGAAACCGTTAATGCGTTAACGGACATGCGGAGACTGACGGCTGGTGCGTAGCATCCGAAACGTCAGGCCGTAGTTAAACAAATCTAATCAAATAAGTTTAACTAATATATATCGCGTTTTAAACCGTTAAAGTGTTTTGTTCAAATATCCTCGCATGAACTAAAAAATAACTTTCAGGCGTATTGTGTATGTTAATCGGTCTAACAATATTACCAAACTGCGTACCTGGAGATCAGTGGAGTGTCACAGTTCTGATGGCAACATTGGGGACACTAGGGTTGCAGTACTCTGGATTCCTCGTAAGTATAATTGGGGGCATGGGGCATGGGACAGACATATCTTGCATCGATTGTTTTAATATATTACTCAAAGAGATCTCTTTGCTATAGATACTATCTGTAGCCTATACGGTTCGGTTCGGTAACACTCTAACGGTTTTAAACGCGAAGAATTTAACATTTTTATAAATTATTTTTAAATATGGCCCATTTTGAATGCTTTGCAGCAGCCACGGTCACGGGGAGACTAAAGATGGAGGGCGTAGCTAATGACATAGTAAAAACTGCTACGCCGTCTGTTCCGTTCGTCAGAGTCGGTCATAATTTTAAATCAAACATTTTTAACCGTTAAATACGCGAGTGATTAATGATTGAATGCTTTACAACAGTCGAGTCTCTCCGTGGCAGTTGAAAAACATCCGAAACATCGGGCTGTAGTGAAAATAATTTGTCAATAACTTTAATTAATAAATTTCGCTTTTTAAGCCGTTGAAAATGATTTATTTAATGCACTACTCGCGTAAACTACAGTGCTTAAACTTAAGTTAAATCTGTTTCAGGAAAATCACAGAGACATGACACAAAATTTCGCTGAAACTTTGTTTGTTATGACAAGTGCAGTTGCGAGTGTCGTTGGCGCAACTGTTCCTTTGCTTACTGGATTTCTTGTGTCTCATGCAGATGACGTAAGTATCTTAAAGTTTAAATACTGTCTGTGATTTACGCGAAGTACACATTTAAATGGAACACTTTAACGGTTTAAAACGCGATATATCTATATATACTAATATATTAAGCTGTAGTGTTTGTTTGGACGCTCTAATCTCGGGAACTATGAGTTCGAATTGAAAAGTACTCTTTGTGTTGGTTAGAAGATTTATCGAGGAAGGATATAGTCTATAACACATTGTGATGTGACTAATAGGAGATTTATAAAAACGAATTGCCCACAATACATTTTTTAGCGGATGAAGTGGCTGGCAGAGCTAGTATTAGATAAACTTATTTTAAAATTATTTTCACTACGGCCCCACGTTCTGGCTGCTTTGCAGCAGTCGTGGTCACGGGGACACTTAACTAACATATATCGCGTTTTAAACTGTTAAAGTGTTTTATTTAAATCTTAAAGTTTATACAAAGACCTTTTTTATGACAAAAGACAAAGCTTGGAGTTTTCTTGATGGAAGGAAAAACACACACGATTTTTTTTTATAACCAAAGGGTCGTGTTCGCATTAGTAGCGAAGTATGTTTTATAATCAATTAGTCGTGAATTCCTACCCCACAGGGTCTAACAATTTATAACGTTTCTGAAATATGTTGGACTTCGTCTGATAATCTTGGTATTAAATGGGACACAACCACAGATGTAATTTTAAAACTATTACCCTATCTTCTCTATTAACTCCTTATTCTTCTCTTAAAATACCAATTACAAGGAAACAGATGGCGCTAGCGTAGCACATTTACCTTTGGACATTAGGGACACCTTTCACTTGCAATTAACAACCCCAACAAACCCCCCCCCACTCCCCCGTAGACACGGCTTCTGCAAAGCATTTGAAACTTCGGGTTAGAAAGAAAAACATAAATATTTCTTTGAACCGTTAAAAGTGTCGCATTCACTTAAAAATAATCAGTGAAATGTAAATATATTCACTAAGATATTTCTCGTTTCAAACCGTTAAAGTGTCAAAGTGTGATTGTAGTGAACGTAACGATTGAATTGAACGTTAAACTTATTTGAATATTATTTTAACTACGGCCCGACCTTTCATATGCTTTGTAGCAGCCGTGGTTACGGAATGGTGGTACTTATAAATATTGCGTTTTAAACCGTTAAAGTGTTGTATTTAAATGCGTACTAATCGCGTAAATTACAGAAACTTTTATTAATTATGCACCTCAGAACTTGGACTTGGTCGGAATTCAGGTTTGACTTAAAAAAGCTCTTCCCTCGCTAATTAAAAGTGAAAAGCAAATCGGAAAATGGAAAAGCCGCGACTTTACGAAAAGTTTTAAATTTTCTCTTACAATGTCATTAACGGTATAACCTAATAATACTTCGTAAACGATCGCCGCTATAACACCGAAGGAACTCCATTTAAAACCTTAACTGGATTTAACGGTTTAAAACGCGATTTATTCGTAATCTTTGATATATAGATCTATAAAGTAATAAAAAGTGAATTCCCATGTTCCCCTTTTGGATCATGGGACGAATACAATCGTAAGCAACCGCCATTATAAGATCACAGGAGTTGTTTAAAACATTAACTGGAACGGTTTGAAACGTGATTTATATTCGTAAACCTTGAAATAGATCCGCAGTTTCTTCTACCGCGCTTAACGAAAATGCTGAGTAATAAAAAACAAAATCCCATTTCCCCCTGTGGGGCATGTGACCAAAATATTCGTGTCTGATTTAAATAAAATAAAATAAGCCTTTACTATTATTAACTATACAAGTTTCCTTAATAACAACGACAGGACATCTTGTTTAAATGTTACTAGCGTATTTCAGCTACCATCAAACGAAACCTGTACTTGTCTGTCCTCTTCTAACATAAAAAAAACAACTTTATTTCGCTAAAAGCAAGCTTAACGAAGAATTAATTAAGTTAATAGCTTGGCTTATCTCCTGTTTGTAACGCCGTAACGAAATTAAGTTTCCCTTTGTTACAGACAGATCAAACGGGCTGGAGGATAATGTATTTCGTTTTGTCTGGCTTCGTTATCGCGTCTGGTGTTTTTTACACGGCCTGCGGGGACAGCGATCGGCAGTTCTGGGACGGTCCCCGAAATAAATTTGGATACACGAACGGTATGTATGCAAAACAGTCTAACAACTTTTGAGAACTTTTTTATTATTTTTTATATGTTATTGCACGTGCAGGCACTATATATAGAAAAATTGAAAAAAAAAAAAATAAAAAAACATTGTTTTTTTTTTCGATTTTCGCACGTTGAACAGTTTCGTTGGACCTCAATTTGAAGTTTTGAGTTGAAATGACATTGGGCGAGAGGTGCATGTATCAATAAGTTGAAGGAATTCGACGATGAGGTGTAGCTCAATTGGCAGAGCAACAGCACGGAATGCTGACGATGCCGGTTCAAGTCCTGCCCGAGTCGAAAATTCTTTCAATTTATGTTCGATTTTTAAATTAGTCTAACAATTTTATTATATAACTAGCTGTGTCAGTGACTTCGTTCGTAGAATAGATATTTTGGGCATCAATAATTTTTGCAAACCTCCTAATCATCGTTAACTTTACCCACGACCTCGGAAGCGTTTCGTCGTCCTTGCAATTTAATCTTTAAATATAGACATGTAGGGTCTTTTAAATAAAACACTTTAACGGTTTAAAACGCGATATATTAGTTAAACTTATTTGAAAATGCTTTTTAAACTTGACTTTTTAACTTCGGCCCGACGTCTTGGCTGCTGCAAAGCATCCGAAACGTCGGGCCGAAGTTAAAAATCATTTTCAAATAAGTTTAACTAATATATCGCGTTTTAAACCGTTAAAGTGTTTTATTTAAAAGTGTACGACTCGCGTAAACTATAGACAATTTTTTAGATCATTTAAAGACGTATAATTATTTTTTACACATTTTTAGGTATCTTGAACCGTTTTTGCAGCGTACGCATTGGAAACCCACGGAGATGAATAATTTTCCTTGATTTTACCACAATTTTCCATTGTCACTTCCCTCCTATTAGTCACAGCGCGAAGTTTTATAGCCTATAACTGTCCTCGATAAATTCTCTGATCAACACAAAGAATTCTTAAATTCGAACCAGTGTTTCCTGAGATTAGCGCGTTCAAACAAACAAACTCATACAATATTTTCATAAATATTGTATGAGTTTGCAGTTTACGCAAGGAGTACACATTCGAATAAAACTATTGTAATTTGTAACGGTATAAAACACTAAATGTATTAGTAAACTTATTTGACTGTTATAAGTCTTAGTTCAACTTATGAAATTTATTAAACACTATAGAGTGACCGCCGCTGTTGCTAAATGGTTAAACGTGTTGCCTAGCATTGCGTTGAGCGCGAGCACCTCTCTGGGTTCGAATCCCAGGGAAACAAAATAAAAACGCTTCGGTCGGGTGGGGCACAGAAGTCTGATCAACTACTTACGTGTAAATAAAACCGAACCGACAGTGAAACGGAGATAGAAATATGTTCGCCCTATGCCCCACCAGGGGAAAATGGTTTTTAATTTTTTTTAGAGTGACACGACGCGTATAAATAAAAAAATAATTATTTCAGAAAAACTAAATAATATCAAGAAAAGGCACAGACACAGAAAATTCTACCCCAAGTCACTATTCCACGCGGACGAAGTCGCGGGCACAGCTAGTATAAATGTATATTTGTGTTGAAAACTCTTTAGGCGGCATTGTGTAGTTTTTGTAAGACGTAAAAAAAGTTAACTTTTAACTAACTTTTGCCAGAACACAATATCTGATCGAAAATTCGTATGACGGAGGGCGATATTAATTGTCATGTTTTTACACGATAACGGATTATATGAGTATCGCGTTATACCATTACTGACAAAGCAATTCGTCCTAATTTATTAAGCCTAACAATGTCAAAAATATAACTAGCTGTGTCAGCGACTTCGTCCGCATAGAATAAACATTTCTGCCACCAAATTTATTTTTGCAAACCTAAAATCAAATCAACCGATACCAAAGCTTTAACCCAAGCTAAGCTATTATCCACGTCGTTCTTGCAAGTTAAGTTGAAAAGATACACATGCCATAGTGTCGCGAACCTTTTTTACATCATTTAAAGACGAATCATTCTGTCATACATATTTTTTGGGTATACATCCGTTTTCGCGGCGTGCCCATCTGAAACCCACAGAGATGAAATTTTTCCCCGTTTTCTCCACATTTCCCGCTGTTCCCTCCTATTAGTCACAGTGCGATGTTTTATAGCCTATAACCTTTCTCGATTAATGCTAGTAACTCTTGACAAAAATAATTTTTCAATTCGAAGTAGTAGTTCCTGAGATTTGCGCATTTAAACAAACAAACAAGCTGTTCAGCCTTATATATTAGTATAGATGTACGGTGCTTATTTATTTATTACAGCTTTATTATTTATAACACACGCCACAAAAAAATATGTTAATAAATAGATCCTTTTTTTTCTTACAGACCCGAGTAATCTGGAGTTGGAGGAATTTGAATCAAAGAGTTAAATATAATATTACATAAAATTATTCACACTACTTTTAATAAACAATGGAATTAATTTTTCGTATTTATTTACTTATTTAAAATGCCAAAACATTATCATACCATTTAAAAAGAAATTATAATTTCATGACCATATTGAAAATCAACTGAAACTTTACTTGGGAATTAGTTCTCGACGCTTCACCATTACGACTTAATGACGTCACTAAGATGGAGGATCTATAAATAGTCGTAATTTCAGAAAATGTACTTATGTAATTTGTCCTTATTTTAGTCTATACTAATATTATAAAGAGGAAAGATTTGTATTTTTGTATGTAACGGGTAAACTCAAAAAGTACTGGACCGATTTTAATAATTATTTTTTCATTAGAAAGCTACATTATCACTGACTAACATAGGCATATTTAGTACTCGATTACTATAGACATCTATAGAAATTCTTACTTAAACCAACGGAAGGCGTAAGTCTTTCATCGCATACGCTGCGAAAAGTATTAATGATAGGACAAAAAAATGTTCGACAATATTATAGAATATATTAATATCTACAAAAAACATCCCGAGAGGATATGTCTAACTATTGTAGTTACGTCGCTATAACTACTTTTTTACATTTAGCAAATTAATAGAAATGCCCATCTAAATCAGACCGTGTTATTCATACGGTTTATAAATTTTTATCCAAATAAATAATTTAATATTCAAGACTGTCTCAATACCTGATGATTACTTTTTTAATTATTGAAATGGGACATTCCATTCAAAAGATATCATGAAATAAAAAATAAAAATGCATGCCGGCGGCGGCCGCCACGCCGCGCATCGAGTAACTAATTCGATGATAGAGGCAGTGGGCTCCTTACGCAGTGGGCGCGAACGACATTTTTATGCTTCAATTCAAAAGTTATTTTCAAAGCTACTTAGTTTAGTATTAGGAATCACACTTTGCATAATGTTTGTCAAAGTTCTTTTCAGAACTATCGCTTTGAACTTGAATATTTTCTTTTGTATTATTATTACTTTATTCTTAATTCACTGTTTTAAAATAAATATCCCTCATAGCAATATGCCTAGAAGAAGAAGGTCGCAGCTATCTAAGAATAGTTCCCAAGCGAGATTAGCAAAGTTTTGTTGTATTGGAGAGTCTTCTTCCTAACGTGATCATCTGGAAAGTATTATAGTGTACGCGTCCCAATCGCAAGCTAGAGAATCTATCGTCGAATGTTCAGGTTCGTTTTGCAGAACAAAATGCAAGTTCGTCTCAGCGACTTGAAGGAAATAGAGGTAGAGGTAGGAAATGCACGGGACTCTAACACTGAACGCTCGCAGCGGCTCCGGACACAGCGTGATAGACAACGGTCGTTAACAGGTAGGACGCGAAATACAATATTTTTCTAATTTAGTGATTCATATATATAATATATATATATATATATATATATATATATAATGTAAATAAGCTTTAAGTCTAATCTACTAACCGCCATTACTACAAAATAATACTTTTAACGGTTGTAAAAGCGAAATGGATTAGTTAAATTATATAACTACGGCCCGACATTACGTAACCTTTGAAGCAGTTGTAGTAATGGGGTTGGGAAATAAATTTCACGTTTTGAACCGTTAAAATATTTAATTTCAATGTCTACTAGTCTTATAAACTACAGGCTTTAGTTGTTCACGCGAGTCATACACATTTAGATAAAACACTAACGATTTATCCGAAACGTCGGGCCAAATATGTTTAACTAATATATATCACGTTTTAAATCGTTAAAATGTTTCATTTTAATGCAGGCATTACTTAAGCGATATTTATATCGAAACTTCGCAACTACCTTCAAAAATACGTCTACCCTCAGAATCTGAATACACTGAGATTATCCAGACTTAGTGAAAGAAGATAAGCTGGTATAACGAACCGGCTGTGAGCTATTTATCAATGTACTTTGTACAGTGGCGGATTATGTTCTGCTTTAAATGTTTGATGTTAAGATTTATGTACCGTCTGTAGCCTACGCGAGTAGAAAGCATTTTAATAAAATACTTTTAACGGTTTAAAACGTGATTTAAAATGTGTACTATTTACGATAGCTATAGGCAATGCTTAATGTGCGTACACGCGTTATACGTTTTATATATTACTTGAACGGTTAAAAACGCTAAATATATTACTTTACTTTTTTAATTTAGCTAAACTTATTTAAACTAAATGGCGCAACAAGTTTCACTGTGACAATGGTAAAACATGCGAAACGTCGGGCCATGGTTTTAATTACAAATATATTTCGCGTTTTAAACAGTTAAAGACGTTTTATTTCAAAATTGTACCGGAATAGCACAGTAAAACAAAAACGACGGGATGTATTAAATTTAAATTATTAATAAGTTAACTAATATACTTGGTGTTTTAAACGGTTAAAAGTGTTTTATTTATAAATGTTAAGTTATTATTTGGGAAAGAAGTAAGAATAATTCGCACAGCTTGTTTTATTAACAGCTAATCAACGGAGGATTTAGTCCTGTAATTTTTGTGCCAACATTATCTGATTAAACATCGTCCTAATACGGCCCTGGTGACAATCTTGAAGGTCAACATTTTGTTGGCTTAGCCTCCAGCCTGATAAACGCGGTCTGGACAACCCTTATAAATCCTGGATGAAGGTACGAGAGAAAAATCTTCCACGCCACGCAAATGGGATAATTAAAAGTAGTAAGACGAACACTTAATTTGACGCAATAAGTAAGTATCGCCTGTAATTTACGCGAGTAGTACACATTTTAATGAAACACTTGTAACGGTTTGAAACGCGAAATATAGGTTTTCGCCCGACATCAAAGTCAAATCCGCTACGCTAGCGCCACCTGTTTCGTCGATATTGATTTAATACTTAGCAGATTTGACTATAAAATTAGGGACACCCTCCGAAACGTTGGATCGGCCATAGTTAAAAAATAATTTAAATTTAATCATTAAATGTAAAAATAATTTTAATTTATCAATTTTAAATATTTCACGTTTTAAACCGTTAAAAGTGTTTTATTGAAATGAGACCAGTTTTTGTGTAAATTATATTATTAAATGTTTTGTCGCTAAAATGTTTTATTACTATAGAAACATACACTAAATAAAACGCAGTTTACTTCGGTCAGTTGTTGTAACTACAACGAATTTCTAATGCTTTACTGTAGCTGTGGTCACGGGAGGAATAAAGTAATTATGCTCGATTCAATTTTTGAATTGCGAACCTCGGCTGTTATTACCAAACCCAAGTGGTTTCGTTCGAAACCGTCGTTGAATTTACCTGAAATTTTTTTAAGCGAAATTCCTCACGAACTCAATTAAAAAGGCCGTAAAGTTCGTGAATATTAATGGAAATAATAGGTCGGTAGCATATCTGTACATCGACAGTATCGCTAGGGTATTTAACAACAAAACAAACGAAAACAACGAGGCAACACTGTCCTGTATTTCTCTCTACACATTCATTTCTAGGTGTTAAATTTAAAAACTTTCGCCAGCTGCCAAAATTGCCCAAATGCGCCGTTCGTTAGCGTTTTATTGGCAAATACGAAATATATCCACAGTTACATAAAAAGAACAGAATGTAAATGCCAATGGCAATGAAGCGGAATTACAATTCCTGTTTTTTATTAAAACATACCCTTTCATTTCGCGTCGGGACAAACATTCGGGCTCTTTGTGTTTGTCGCGACATTTTTTTCTGATAAAGAGACCAATTGTTTGTTTAACGAAACGTTTATGCTTGAATTAAACACTTTTAAATAGGGGAGAAGTGGCATGAGAGGGTCAAATCAAATAAAATAAAAAATAAGGTTTTGTAAGGAGTTTTGTTTATTGATAGAGAAGGACAGATAAATACGAAGTTCACTTTATGGTAGGTAAAATACATCAGCTGATAGCATCTTAACACGATGCGCTGTCGACCCATTTTGAAACCGAAACGCGATTAAGCTTCACGGCAATTTCATCTGTGGACGGTGGTTCGTGGCTTCGGAATTTCGACATTCCTACCCATTTTTAAGATTATATTTAACATTGTAAATTTTGTTTCGCCCACCTTGCACATCTCGTTTTCCCGTAAACTTTTTCCTTTTCTTCTTGGGTTTGCCTGCAAGAGATCGCTCGTTAGCGATAAGGCCGCCCATTGCACTCCATATGTATAAGTTTATATTTTTGTTATTTTTTTTTTGTGCAATAAAGTGTAAATAAATAAATAAAATAAATAATATCCAGTATTTCGGACGAAGTCCAACATATATCAGAAAAAATTACAAATTGACAAGAAAAATGTTGGACCCGCTGGGGATCGAATCCACAGCCCGTTGATTATCACATTGCTTACTGTCTATAGTTTACGCGAGTAAACTATAGACATTTAAATTAAACACTGTAACGGTTTAAAACGCGATATATTCGTTAAACTTATTTAAAAATCATTTTCAAATAAGTTTAACTAATATATCGCGTTTTAAACAGTTAAAGTGTTTTATTTAAATATCACATTGCTACCATTAGACTAACGGGCGCGTCTAACCTATTTTGGATTTGGCTATTTAGAAATCCACAGACTGGAACTGAATCGCAATTTTAGTTTCAGAAAAAGTGTTATAAATTTTAGAATAATTATTAACTGATTTAAGGAACATGTTGGACCCGACAGGAATCGAACCAAAAACCATTTAATTAGCTTTACATTGCTACCGTTCAATATTTCTTCGTTATTTTAGACGACTAAAACACGTTAAACGAATCAAACGTTAAACCCTTAAGTTTTCTTATTCCAAACCGCGACCCGACGTTTCAGCAGCGGCCCTGGTCACGGGGGACTTTTTGTTTAAGTGGCATTACACAAAATAAAGTTGCGCTCTAGAATAGCGCAACAAAATAACTTTTCCCCGCCATATGGCGCAGTTGCATAGACAAAACCGCAAGCGAAAGTTAGCTCGGCCGGCTGTTGGGTCGAGTTGGCTGTAA